ACTCTAGATCGGAAGGATGTTCACCACAAACCTTGGTCAGCTCGTCACTATGAAGCTAGATCGACATAACTACATGCTTTAGAGATCACAAGTTCTTCTGGCGTTAGATGGTTCGGATCTAATCGGATTTGCTAATGGGTCCTTACCATGTCCACCTCAAATCATTGAAGAAGATGGGCAAAGGATCTCCAACCCAGTGGCAGAAACAAGACCAACTACTACTCAGTTGGATGCTATCCACACAGAGTGTCCTCGGCCAAGTCATCAGCTGCACCACAATTAGAGCTGTTTAGAGCACTCTAGAAAGATTATTTGCCTCCTAGTCCAAGGTTAGAGTCATGCAACTTCATGTAGAACTTATGCACTTGAGAAAAGGCACCATGCCAATGACTAAATATCTACAAAAGGCCAAGAATATTTCAAATAGCCTTTCCATGGCTGGACAACCCATTATTGATCAAGACTTGGTGTAAAACCTTAACTGGTCTCGGATCAGATTATGAAGCCTTCGTGACATTTGTGAGAACTCTAACTGATTCACTTACTTTTGATGATATTCAAAGAATGCTTTACAATCATGAACTCAGATTGGAAGCCCTGAGGGTAAGCACAGATTCTACTATACCAAGTGTCCATGTTGCCCAACGTGGACATCAGCAAGGAGGGTCTAGATTCAATCATAACAAGAACAAAGATCAAGATAATCGACCCAGACAAAACCAGTAAACCACTGGTGAAAATAAAAAGATGAGTACTAATCTTGGACCTTGTTAGATTTGTAAAAAGAAAAACCATACTGCAGAGAACTGTTATTTCAGGTATCACAGAGATGGTGATTTAGACCGGGCAGCAAACTCAATCAATTTTGCTTCCATAGATAATGATGGGAGTTGGTATCCAGATTCCAAAGTTACAAATCATCTAAATTCAGAGCTCAGTAACTTGAAACTTCACTCCTCTTACAGTGGGACAGATTAGATTCGAACTATAAATGGAGCAGGCTTGAAAATTAAGAATGTTGGTTCTTCTTGCATATAGTCTTCTTCACAACCTCTCATTCTTAAAAATGTGTTGCATGTTCCAGAAATTACCAAACATTTGTTATTAGCTGCTCAGTTTTCTATAGACAATGATGTGTTTTTTGAGTTTCATCATCGTTTCTTTGTTGTGAAGGATCGACAAACGAAGAAGATCCTACTGGAAGGGCCGATTAGTAATGGTCTCTATAAACTGCCGAATGAGCAAAAATCCCAAAGTACAAAAAATCTTGCTCTTGTAGGAGAAAGAACTTCAATGGATCTTTGGCATCGGCATTTTGGACATCCAGCACCCAACATTGTTAAACAAGTAGTATTCAAGAATAAATTGCCAGTTAGCTCCGTTAAATCATTAAGCTTTTGTTCTTTCTGTCCCATGGGTAAGAGTCACAAGTTACCCTTTTCAGCTAGTTCACCTATTGTTACTACACTATTACAATTGATATTTGCAGACATTTGGGGACCTGCTCCCATTGCTTCTCATGGTGGTTTTAAATATTATATAAGTTTTGTTGATGTTTTTAGTAAGTACTTGTGGATTTTTCCTCTCAAATTAAAGTCTAAAGCCCTAAATGTTTTTATCAAGTTCAAGACCAATATTGAAAATATACTTGGATGTTCTATTAGGGCCCTACAAACTGATGGCGGGAAGTTCTCTTCTTTTCGCCCCATTCTTGAGCAATGTGGTATATCACATAGGCTAAGTTGCCCTCACACCTCTGAACATAATGGTTGTGTTGAAAAAAGACATAGGCATATAATTGAGATTGGTTTAACTTTGCTAGCACAAGCATCCGTACCTATGCGTTTCTGGTGGGAATCTTTCTATGTTGCTGCTTATTTATGCAATAGAATGCCCAGTAAAGTCATTGGATATGTCTCACCATGGAAGAAACTTTTTCACACCAAACCAAATTATTCATTTTTTAAGGTTTTTGGCTGTGAATGTTTTCCTTACTTGAGACCTTACAATCAGCATAAGATGAATTTCAGATCCACCCCCTGCATTTTCATGGGCTACAATCCAGAACATTATGGCTATAGATGTCTTCATCTTGCAACTAGACGATGGTACATATCTCGCCGTGTATTATTTAATGAAACACACTTTCCTTTCAAGGACCTGCCCTCTTCCATCACACTAGTACAGCAATCATCTCAACCGGCCCCGCTACCCATCACCTCAATTATTTTACCCAAACCCAGTTTCACCATTAATACACCATCAGCTATCTCCGATAGCTCTCCCACTTTGACCAATAATGAAACCTCTCCTCCCCCTTTCCTTTCTTCATCTCCTACCGTTGACCATGCTCCATCATCTTCTCCACCTCACTTACCTTCATTACCTATATCAGCACCACCTAACACCTCTATCATTCATCAACCTCCACCACCCTCCAACACACACCCCATGACCACTCGAGCTAAGAGTGGTGTTTTCAAACCCAAAACCTTCATTGCAACTAAGTACCCTCCTCTCTCACCTGAATTTGAACCTTCCTCTATAACCCAGGCACTCTCTATTCCTCATTGGCACTCCGCCATGCAACATGAATTCGATGCCCTCCAATGCAATCGAACCTAGGAGCTTGTACCTAAACCCAAGGGCCATAACATTATCGCCTACAAATGGGTGTTTCATATTAAACGGGGTCCTGATGGGCGTGTGTCTCGTTACAAGGCTCGTCTTGTTGCACGTGGTTTCTCTCAACAGCCATGGGTGGACTTTCACGATACATTCAGTCTAATGATTAAGCCAACAACTGTTCGACTTCTATTCTCTCTTGCTGTTTCTAAGGGTTGGCATGTTCATCAAGTTGATGTGCAAAATGCATTTCAATATAGGAATCTCACATATATATATATATATCAACCACCGGGCTTCAAGGATCCTCAACTTCCAAATCATGTATGCTCCTTGAAACGCTCCTTATACGGCCTATGCCAAGCACCTCATGCATGCTACAATAAGTTTGCTAATTTCTTAATTGGTCTTGACTTCAAACTTTCACAAGCTGATCACTCGCTCTTTTATAAGCATTGCACTACTGGCCCTTTGTTTATCTTAGTATATGTTGATGACATTATCATCACTGGATCATGCCCTCAATTTATTTCTTCCACTATAGCTCTTCTGAGCTCCAAATTTGCTTTGAAAGACCTTGGCCCACTTCATTATATTTTGGGAATTGAGGTCACTCGGCTACATAACGGCATGTTTCTGTCTCAACATAAATATGTTTATTAGTTGCTTAAAGTGGGTATGCTTGATGCCAAACCAACCAAGACACCTCTCCCTTCAGGTCCTACTCTTTTGTGCTACTAGTGATCCCTTTGTCGATGCTCAACTTTACAAACAAACAGTTGGGGCTCTACAGTATTTGCCTTTCACTCGTCCTAATGTGGCATTTGCAGTCAACAAGGTTTTCCAGTATATGCATGCCCCCACCACTCTCCATTGGGTTGTTGTCAAGCATATCTTGCGCTATCTTAAGGGTACTATGCATTATGGCCTATGTCTCATTCCTCCTTCTATTGATCCACTCTCCACCTTTTCTGATGTTGATTGGGCAGGAAACCCCGATGATCAAAAATCTCAAAGCGGTTTCTATGTTTTTCTTGGGAATAATCCGGTGTCTTGGTGCTCAAAGAAGCAACAAATAGTTGTCCGTTCAAGCACGGACTCTGAATACAGGTCTCTTCTAGTTGTAGCCTCTAAAACCTTGTGGATTCGCTCTCTCATGGTCGAACTAGGCCTTCCATTGCACTCTCCCCCTACCTTGTTCTGTGACAATCTCAGTGCCACCTTCCTTGCTGCCAATCCTATGCTTCATTCTCGCTCAAAGCACATCGAAATTGACATTTACTTTATACGGGACTATGTCAACAAACGGCACCTTAGAGTTCAGTTTGTTGCCTCAGTTGATCAACTAGCAAATGGCCTTACTAAGGCATTGAGTTATCCTCGCTTTGCAGTATTACATTCCAAATTAAACATGGTCAATCCATGTATCACTTGAGGGGGGATATTAGATAACATAACATCCAACTTACGTATATATCCAATGCATGATAGCATCCAGCTTTTACTTATCCTCATCTATTCAACATTGAAGTGTTATGATAGAACTCAATCACTTGTACCTATATATATAACTCAACCACTTTATAAAATTGTCCATCATCTTTTCTCTTACATTATCTTTTAGTGCCAATTCATCCTAACACACTCAAACATTGGCATGATAATCTGCAGCAAGTGCGGCGAACACATGGTAAGCAGAGCTAGCATAATCCCCAATTCATCCTAACACACTCCGGCTATCCAATTTATCACGGCGAATTTGACCAACTACTGACCATGATAACTAATCGTGGATTGGTATCTTATTTCCTTTAGTAATAAACATTAACCCTTACACATCAAATCTGTTAAACATGAAATTAGATTGAATTCAGACCAGAAAATCATCGTAGGCCTATAAAAAATATCAACATCTGACAGTGAAAGAAAATTTGAACAATTCAGTATTGGATAGGGGCCGCGCGAACGCATTCCCCCACTGCCACAAATAATGACGTACACTCTCGCACTTGGGGAGATGTTAGGCGGGCACTCCTCCCAAGTGCAATGGAAGTCATGGTTTTCAAAATCGGACCTGACCGGACGATCGGACCGAAAAAACTGGTAACTAACAGTCCCTAGGTCCAGTTTTACTAAAAATCGGAATTTGTTAAAAAACGTTGAAAAGGTCAAAAAACAGGTGACCTGAGAGGTCGGACTGCTAAATCATTCGACCCGAGCAGCGGTTCGTGGGTTAATATTTTTATTTTTAATGTTTTAAATAAAAAACAAAAAATAAAATTCCTATTATATCCCAACCATGTTTGATCCCAATCCCTTATTCCTTTTAGCTTTAGGGTTAGCCCGAGTTCCCTCCTCAGTCCTCTCAACTCTCACACCCTACTGACAGACCACCTGTGGCAATCATCACCTTTGGCATCCGATGGTGACCGGCGAGCTTGCAGCGACGAAAAGAGTCACTCTCACCAGCACTTGCAGCGGCAACTTGCAATGGCGGATGGCGAGCATTGGACGGTCAAGATCTAATTTTGGACTATCACGAGTAATGATGGAGAGTCCCATGAGAGATTCCTCTTCTGTAGGAACTCCAAAATGGATGGCTCCTGAGCTCATCCACAATGAACCTTTCACAGAAAAATGTGATGATTTCAGTCTGAGTGTGATAAGTAGGGCATGGAATCTGTTTGTTTTCCAAGTTGCAAAAGGAAACACAGGACCCTCCAACATTGATTTGTGTGCAATGATTCGGGTAGTCTATGAAGTTGCTAATGAGGGATCGTGGCTAGAAATTCCTGAAGGTCCCCTGGGTAGGTTGATTGCAGGTATGTATTATATTACAAATTTGATGCTGGATTTATCGTTGGTGACAATTGAATGGGAAGCTCACCTTCTAGAGTCCTAACTGCAGATTGTTGGGTAGAACCGAATGAACGACCAAGCTGTGAAGAGATTCTCTTGCGCTTGCTCGACTGTGAATACACACTCTGCTGATTCAGTTTGTATTGTATAGAAAACAGTGTAGAGGTCACATTGCCTTCATCAAATACTGCCAGAGCCACCATACATAAAGATATGAATGTCAAGAGATGGGTACAGAGTGTTTGAATGAGTTTGACTATATTCAAAGTGGGTACCTCCTGATCTTATTCTATACTGATAGAATTATAGAAGGAAGCTCATTACCTGTTCTTGCTTACATGTTTTTTCTATAATTTTTGGAAAAATTTCTGTACTTTTTGGAATTTTTCTATATTTTTTGTATTTTATTATTTTTATATTTAGATATTTTTATTTTTTCATATGTTATTCTTTTTCCTGTATGTATTTTTTATATTTTATTTAAATTTCGATGGTATTTTTTATTATATATAAATATTTTTTTTATTTATATATGACATCACGGGTCAAACCGTTCAACCCGGACGGTTGATAATAGGTTCACAACAAGGGCATATCAGAAAATACAGAGTGATAATATGTTCCAACACGATAGGAACGGTTTCTCCACAGTCCAGTACTTCTGGTCTCCTGCCGGAGAAGATTCCAAATCGTGGACTTTTTGATCGCGAAGTCCCCAAAATCGAAGGTTACTAAGGGTGCCACGTAATCATCCAGTTCCCGCCATTTTCATTTCCCTCTCACCTAATTGACATAAAAATCCTTATTTCACACCCAAGACCCAACGGACCACAAACTACAACGAACCAAGCTCGCCGCTCGCGATCTCTCTCTTTCTCTCGCTCGCGTGGTCGTGGTGGTAGCGACTAGAGAGCTTGTTCAGTTGTTCTCATGGCGCCTCAAGCCCTAACCGAGTATGAACGCCGAAGGCTCGAGAATATAAAGCGTAATGACGAGATGATGGCCGCTCTGAAGCTCCGTTCCAGGGCCGAAGAACTCTCTTCTTCCACCAAGCGCAACAGGTCTCTACCTCTCTTCAACACACTAGCTTGCCATTTTTGACCGTGATATCTGCTTCTAATCATCTATGTGTCTCCTTTTCTCTGGATTGTATTGCTTTCTCATGGCAGAATAGAGAATAAAGCTTATAAGATTTCTCCAGAGAAGAAGCCCAAAACAGAAACGCCAATTGTAATTCGGCGGTCTCTCCGTGCCCGACGGATTCCGGCTGACTCCTTATCCGAAAAGGACCTCGAAGATGACCACGTTTCCTCCCCCAAAAAGATTCCCGAGTCTTCTACACGGTCGAAAACTTCTCGCAGAACCTTGGGTTCTATCAGCATGCAAGATGCATATAGCGGTATTGCATCTGATCGGAACCTTATAGATACGATCATTAGCATGTCGAAGAACATCCAATTGGATTTTTCTATCAAGAATGAATCCTGTCCTAGTAAGATGGAATCCTCCGGTGATAAGAGTGCCCAGGAAGCGGCTCTGGGTAGCTCGAAAAATGTTCATTCGAGTTGTGTGGTTAAGAGGGAACTCGACATGAATGGGAGTTCCCGCGATTCAATCATGAATATGTCAGAAAATGCCCCATCAAGTAATTTGGTCAAGATGGAATCCTCTGGTGATAAGAGTGCTCAGGAAGCTACTCTGGGTAGCTCGAAAAATGGCCATTTGAGTTGTGTGGTTAAGAAGGAAGTCGACATGAATGGGGCTTCTCACGATTCAATCATGAATATGTCAGAAAATGCCCCTTCAAGTCATTTGGTCAAGAAAGAATCTGGTGAGAATATAGGTTCTGGTTATATGAACAGTGGTATGCCAGGAAGTGTTCCATTTAATTGCCAAATCAAGAAAGAACGGGATAGAGTCGTTAGTTCTTTTAATGTGCGTTCGTTAAGATTGAGACCGGAGAATATTGCACAACTCATGCCTGGAAAGATACTGGACGTGCGGTTCTTTCCGTCGACCCACCGCACACTCATTGTTGCTGGGAACAAATTTGGTAATGTTGGATTTTGGGATGTTGATAATAAGGAGGACGAAGGAGATGGGATCTATTTGTACCAACCTCACTCAGGTCCTATTTCCGCCATTTTGATTCGACCATATTCAGTATCGAAGGTATTCTTTCTATCATGAATTATGCGATTCTTATTTTGTTTTTATAATGTTACCAATGTTCATATAGTCGTTTTGTTTGAGTAATAGTGAATCTTAGTTGTATGGTGGTATACTTTAACTTGTGCACGTTTAGTGAGGCAACAAGTAAACTTAATGTAAAACATAGAAGAGATAGTGGACAATAAATCACTGATTTCACTGTTTGGTTCATAGTAACTTTGCTTTTTGTCGCATATCCTTGTCATGCACCAAGACAAACAGATGGAATAGTTTTCAGTAAAAAGCAGAGTGCTTGCCCAGCAGTTCTGATTAACACCATATCAATGATCAATCACATGAATAGCATCAGACCTTGTTTAGGCATTGCATTACCTTGTTCAATGGGAAGACATTTCTTCTCTTTGCTTGTTGCATAATGATGCACCAGTTGTGTCTTCAAAGTTTTCAATTGTTCAGGTGGAGAGATCTATTTGGACTAAACTTGTAAATTATCACCCCTGTATTTTCTGAAAATGAATGCCACAATAAATACCTACTAAAGTACATATAGTAAAGATGTTACATTGAACTTTCTCAACATGATGATAATGTTGACTGCTAAGCTTTGCCCCATAGTATTTTTTTTTTTTTACAATCTTTAGCTTCATCCATAACTTCAACATGAAGTACGTGTAAAATGTAAATAAGCTTGGGACGACAGTAAATTGAAGTCATCTTTGAATTGTGTGTATCTAATATTTGTGGGCGGCAAGGTTGACTTTATAACCAGGACAAATAAGATCTATATGTTGGTTTCAAATTATTATTTAGTAGGGGTGCAAGTAAGGTGCCCAACTTGAACTTACATTGCATTGGGCCCAATCTGTTCAAATTTTAACAAATAATCAACCTAATCCCGCCCAAGTTGCACTCCAAATATTTAGGGTCTTCAATTTGTTCAATCCCTTATATTTTATTTGGTTGTTCTTGTTTAGATAGATTCATTTGAGATGGGTTTTCCATTATGAGGACCATTCTTTTGAGGGTAAAGATTTGGATCAGTATTTCCATCATCTATATTGGAAAGACACAATTGACCACCCTACCCAAATTGGATTTTGACATTCTAGATCTTTTAAGTGGGATCCATCATCTACTAATGATTATGTAATACCCCCTCAAAGATCTCTCAAATTTTAAGATGTTATGATGATGGACCATGTTGGGTACTCAAAAGGATAGAATATGGCATACATGACATAGGCATTATTATGTAACATCTAGTGTTTTAGAAGTGAAAAATGCAAGAAAATCGCAAGGGTCACCTAGCACTCAAGGTGTAAGGTACAAAGTGAGGCATGCACCTTTTTGAAGCAAAGTGCAAACTTTTGGGAAAAAAAATTCAGACAACAGTAATGTATACAAACTTGAATTTTAAAAGAAATTAAATATTTTATAAATCTCAGTAGCTCAAATTAAAATACATAAGCATAATATATAAAACATATTCAAAATGAAAATGTGGAGGTGAAAGAAAACATATGTAGATCATATCAAAGTGCTTTAAGAACTCAACAATTTGGGCTTGTGAAACTTCAAAGTGTTTATTTATCTCCTAGTTGCATTATTTCAAGTAGCTAGTATATGATATTAAACATCTTGTATTCCTAATCTTAGGAGATTGACTATTTGCCTCCATAAAGGCCCCTTAGGAAAGCCCAAATAAGTCTATGTGGGGGTTTGGGGCAGTGCCTCTGTCCAAAACTTTGGCCCATATACATAAAGGGGTTCATCTTGTGAATTTTGTTGCAGTTCATTATATTTTAAGATTATGAGTTAAACATTAGTTGTATTATTTTTACCTTTTTGGTGGGAATTTTTCTATTTGAGATCCACCTAAGGCTTCAGCTATTTAAATGGTCTTTGCTTGTGTTTAGAAGTTAACAGCCCATTACTAGTGTACAAACAACAATAAAAGGCAATTTAAAAGTTGATAAACCATGACAAAGTTATAAAACATATAAGAATCTACAAAGAACCAATAAAAAAAGCAAAATAAGGCATATTTAAATAAAGAACGCACCTGGGATGAGGTTCAAGAAATGCAACTTGTTTGTGCACCTAGGGATGCCTTTAAAATATTGGTAGCATCCATGAAGATTCAATTTAGTGTGAAGGGGGCTGTGGTGAATTGGCTAAAGAAAGGGGAGGGAATTATTTGGCAGTTAAGGAATGAGTTCAGGCGCTTCAAACAAGCTTCTAAAGACATGGTGATTCAAATAAAATGGATTAGAAGATCAGCTAACAGCATGGCTGATGGTCTAGCTAAGTAAAGGCAATCTATGTTTTGGGCTATGTTCTAGTTATAGGATATTTCTGTTAGGTTACCCTTTGGGCTCTGTTGTAATTAAAGGGATTGTCTTTTGGGTTTGCTTGGGGCTGGATGTATTTAGTGGAACAATGTGGACTGCTTGTCCACCCACAACTTCCTTGTTGCACTTGATTTTCCTAATTAATGAATCTTTTTCTGTGTTGCTGATCAAAAAAAAATTCAATTCAGTGTGATGATTATGATCAACATGTTATGATTAGTAAATTGAAAATTGCAATACATGTTAATTAAGTAATTACCCCAATTACTAAGATTATAATGTTGGACATATTAAAATGAGAGTTAAATTGATGATTGTGGAAAATATGATGAAGTTAATTGAGAAGCAAGTCTTGAACCTTTTTTGTTTTCTATTAAATATCTAGAGGATGAAGTAACATTTGTTGGATGCTACCTAGGTTTCTTTAGTTTCCTGGCCACCTGAAAGAAGTGCAATTGTTCTTACCTAGTACATTTTGTTTCCTGATTGATCTTTCTAGGTTACAGATCTAGGGACTAGGTGAGAAATTTTAACAATATTAATAGTGTTCTACATTGGAACTTGAAAATGCACAGTTAGCTCATATCTGGGATTTTCAAAATTGTTGTTTTTCCTTACTTTGTAATGTGATTTTTTTAAATATCACAATGAATTGATGCTTGCTAATTTTGTGATAATGACCAAGTATGATATTGGTTCATTTTAGATATGACTGTTTCGCTACACTGGTATTTTTACTTTTGTGGCCTATTTGCTATGATATGATACTGTCAACTAGGTTTATGTATGTATGGAAGGATAATTCATTCTCCAATAAAGTAGTTTGATGAATGAGCCTTACTTTGGTTATGTTTTTTATTGGAGGCTATGCAAGTATGCATGCAATTTTCTTTGCTTAAAATATCCACCTTTTCATTTCAATTAAAAGACTTGACTATGTTATATGTCTATAATATAAACCTTTTTATTGAGTACAGACATTCATTAATTGCAAGCAAATAATGCTTGTTGAGTACCATATCTAGGTTTTCAGCAGCTGCTATGATGGTTTCATTCGTTTGATGGATGTTGAGAAGGAGAACTTTAATCTCATTTACTCCGGTGAAGATGCGATTTTCTCTCTTTCTCAACATCCACAAGATGCACAATCACTATATTTTTCTGAGGGTCGAGGAAAGTTGCATGTTTGGGATGAGAGAGCAGGGAAACTGTCAAGTTCATGGATGTTGCATGAACAAAGAATCAACTCCATTGACTTTAATGTAGAAAATACCAACTTGATGGCTACGAGTTCTACTGATGGGAAAACCTGCATCTGGGACTTGAGAAGTATTGGCAGTGCTGATGGACCAAAAAGTTTCAAGACATTTGACCATAAAAGAACTGTTCATTCTGCTTATTTCTCTCCAAGTGGAAGCCATCTTGCAACAACAAGGTATGCAATCACTGTCTGGTACTTTCCTCTTGGTTTTCAATCAAGCAAATAATCTGGTTATTTTATAATTTGAGATTTTCTTTTCACAATGAACAATGAAATGATTAGTAGTGCATATAACAATGTGATAATGAACATATGAACATATGAAGACTTAACATGAAGGTACTTACAAAAAAAAAGACTTAGCAAGAAGGGCCTCAATAATGAGTTTTTTTTTTTTGATAATGAGCTGAAGGTAATTTATATGTAATTCAATATCAAAATTTGAAATTGAAACGAAATCATATCATAAAATCTTCATTGACGATAATAATACTGGACCTTCTGTTTTTTTCTGCATGCCAGTTCATGTATGTTCTGGACCAATTTCAATCCTTACATTCCTCAACTATGTCCAGTTTACTTCATGATAGTTCGTCCTGTCTAAATAAGACTGCTAATGGATTTACATCTTTTTTTTTTTTTGTTACGTAACAGAAATTTCCATTGAAATAAACCACCAAACTTCTCACAGAAAGGGCAGTAGGCTACGCTGCTTGGTTCTCTAGAAAAGGAGAGTCAATCACAGAGTAAGAAGAAAGGAAATAAGAAACTGAAAAATAGATAACATACAACTGTTACAAATTACAGCCTGGCCTTGGGCACCCCCATTCTAACATTTGTCTCCCAACCCCTTCTCCAGCCAAAGAATTTGCTGGCATATTAGCACTCGTAGGCACCCTGTTGAAAGAGTTAAAAGAAGCACGTATATCGAGCCAACCTCACCCATTGCCTGAATTCCCAAGGGATTTAGTCCTGTGCCTTCATCCATAGGATGATAGTTTAGTGATCCATCGAATCAGAGTCAGATCTTAAGTGCTATAATAATCTATGTTAGTTAGGATAAGATCAAAAGTGGAAAATCAAAACTGGTAATCTCTTGGATGAATGACAGCAGTCCAGGTGTTTGGATTGAGTTTCAGACATCTATCTAATAAGAGAAATCAGGAGCATGACGAAGGACTTAGAAGCAAGCTTCAAATGGGTAAAGAGAACAGTAAATGGAATGGCAGACAGCTTGTCAAAATAAGGGGTGTATAGGGATGTTTAGTAAATTTTAAAAGCTTTGTTGGTCCAAGTGTTTTAATTTAGTTGTAGTTAAGATTTTGTTGTATCCAGATTTGATCCAAGCCCACTGAAATCTGATTTGAATCTGAGTCTAGATTTGCAGATCTGTCATAGATTGATCAAATAAAATATAATTGGATTATATTTGGATAGGTATGATTGTTTTCTATTTGCAATCCATCTTCCCAGATGGTATATAGAATATATCTCCCTATGATTAAACATGACTCAAAATTGTGAAGAGAAAACTATGGATGATACATAGTAAGTATGAAAAAAGATTAAAAGAAGTTAGACAACAAATTTTCTTTCTGTGGTTTATCAGAAAAGGCTCCCTATAGATTTTCATCATGTCTTTGAAACATTAAAAAAAATCGAAGGTTTCCATATCATCCATCACCTTATATCAATGTAAAATGCATGTGTGGCTGTGTCACCAAATCATAGATTGTGCACAGACAAGTTCCATGAGCTTCACTTTTCCATAGTTGATGTTGCTTTCTAGATTTCCTTCTTGGACCTTATTGCCATTCTTCCCCACTGAAAAGGGAACAAGTCTAATCAATTCACTTATGTTTCTTCTTTTTCTTTGTTTTTTAATTTTCAATTGAACTGTTAAGTGCTTCCAATGAGAAAGTCATGCAAAAATGACCAGGAAAATTACAATTCAAGTTGCAGTTTTTTTTTTTTTTTTTTTTTTTTTTGTGCTTGGTTCTATGTTTTCCCAAATCATACAATTCAACGGTTCAACTAATCAGGTTAAACAAATCACTATTTCTAAAACATTTTGAGTGCTTTATTGATCAAGAATTCACCTTATCCTATTTGAGCACTTATGTAATAGTGCAACAGACCAAAACCCCTGCTTCTGTCTGGATTCCAAAACATTTTCCTAGGTAGATCTCATCCTCTGATTGACCAATGTATTTGGAAGAGTTTGTACATGCTTAATTATTTTGGAAATTCTGGTTTACTAGATAACCATTCATTATTTCTAAATTATCTTGCAGGTGGCATTCATGGCATTAAAGAGGACTGTTTGAGATTTATTTCAATCTGTCATAACTTATAATGTGCACACTTGCTGATCTTTTCTGTTTTTATCTCTTTATATAGTATCAATGACACAGTTGGTATATTTCACGGAGTTGATTTTGGGGATGTTTCTATGATTCGTCATAATAACCAGACTGGTAGATGGCTGGCCTCCTTCAGGTGCGAATTTGTTTGATGAGTGCTAATATGATTAGTTGCTTTGTGGAAATTGCGTCCTCTGTATTGCTTCTTATGTGACTCTTGGTGGTTCTTTGACCAATCTGTCAGCACTTCCTTGTTTGTCAGTTTAGCTAACCACTGTTAGTTTAAGCATACGCAGGTTGTTATTTATAGGATTTAACTACTTGCATCTCTGAAAGCCCTCCTTTACTGAACAAGGATTACACTAGAGCAATGATATTAGCTTTGTTTATTCATAAAATAATATGATATTAGCTTTGTTCAACACTCGAAAACTTTCCTAACTTTCCACCAAAGAAACTTCCGAATGTACATGCTTTTTTAATTTCTCATCTATGCTTTACCTTGTCTGTTTCCCTCTATTACATGATCCACTTGTTAATATGCTTTGTCATCATAAAAAAATCCTTTTATCGCCAATTTTTTCTTTTTCTTACAAAACTCTAATGCATTGCCAATTTGTGTTTGTTGTTTCATCATAGAACATTTTGAATCATATTTTATCTGTCATCCTTCTCAGTATTCCCTCTCCTCCCCCTCTTGGTTTACATTAATTGCTCAAACTTGGTAACTTCTGATGCCTTTGCCTGGCTTTTCTATTCATTGTACCTACAAACAATTATTAACCTATCCGAATCAAGAATACCTTCAAAGTTATATTTAAAATGAAGACACTAATCTGTTAGGTTTCCATTATAAAATGATAGATGGGCGGGTTTTATGGTGGTGGCTTAAGGTGCACAACTTGCCAATATGGATTCCAATATGCTAATATGGTAATTCTGTTACAAGTTGGAGGGGCTAGAAGAGCTAGGAGCAGACCGAAAAGGACTTGGGTGGAAGTAATAAAACATGATTTGTGTCTATAATTTAATAATGGATTATATCACTAATAGAACAGAATTCATGTATCCGACCCCATATGGTTAGGACAAGGCTTAGATGATGATGATGTATTGATATCAGATAGTTAATCAAAAACCTATTTACCTATCAGAGGTTCCCAAAGCAACTTGCAATTTGGCTTGTTATAACCTATACCCCCCCCCCTCTTTTCCAGTAAAGGAGGAAAATTGCAACAGGAAAGGAGTGGATGTAATGGGATAGCTGCCTATAATTTTTTGAAGGGTGGAAAATCTGGGGATGCTTCACTTGGTATGGGTCTATTAAGCACATCTAAAAAAACTAGTTATTTGCCTCCTGTGATTTTCTAGCAGTTTAAATTTTCACTTGGCAACATAAAATCTGCCTTGAGAGACACCCTATGGTTGCATTTATTTTTTCATAGACATGGAAAAGAACTTTATTTTCTTGTTGTGAAATGGAAGAGGCTTTCAAATTGAATGGTTTTAGGTCCCTGCTATGTAGCTCAAAGGATGTGTATGACCAGTAATCAATACATTATACATTCACATGAAAAAGATCTAGACCTGCCCCATCAATGATCTAATATTCATGATGGATCTCATGGGTTAAAGTTTTGACCAGATGAGTAATTGTAGCCATCTCATCAATTGCATTGTATTTGATGAGAGTAAAAATTTATTGGAACTTTGTTTTTCATTTATGAAATTACCTATAAATGGTGGCTTGACCGACTGGGAGCACTATTTCCTGTTTTCTCTGTGCACTAGATACAAAGTTTGGACTAAAATACTTATACAGCCAAAGTATAAGGTGTTCACTGCCTTTATTTGGTTGACCCACCCCAATTCATATCTCCATGAGATCATCATTTTTTTAACAGCTTGTTTTATTTCATTGCTACAGAGCAATATGGGGTTGGGATGATTCTTATCTCTTTATTGGCAATATGAAAAGGGGATTGGACATTATCTCCAGCATCCAAAGGAGAACAGCAATGACCCTGGAATGCCCGTACATGGCTGCAGTCCCATGTCGGTTTGCTGTACACCCTTGTAAGGTTGGGACGTTGGCAGGAGCAACAAGTGGAGGACAGGTTTATATGTGGACATCAAGTTAGGAAAATGTAAGACAATATTGTAGCAGAAATTTGTAATTTAAGACCAGGATCCAGAACCAAATCTTAGATATTTTTTGTAAATTTGCAAGACTGGAAGAATATTCATGTCAACTGTATACTTTTAGTGCCAACATTTTTAATGAGTTTGTACTGATTTAGAAGTGATGTTTCTGGTCTCTGAATATTTGAATGTCTTGTTACTCATCTGATTTCTGGATGATTTATCGAAATCTCTAGCGGTAAGCTATATTTTGAGACCACCACAGAACTGGAATGCTGGACTGTTGAGTGGATAAAATGCATAGAACAATTCAATACAGATCTGTTCCAGTTATTTTACAGAAAAAATCACTAAAACTGTAGCTAGAAAGAGTAAAAGCAGTCTAGAAGCTGGCTCCCAGTTTTCTGGTAGAAGAAAATAATTCTTAATGCTCTTCTCTGAGATGGGCAGCAGCCTTACAAACAAGGCAATTTCAATATACCTGAAAGGAGACTCTGATCTTCCTTTAAAGGGCCTTGGTTTTTTTTTCATAAAAATCTATTTTCTTTTCAACCTAATGTTTCAGGACAGCTTTTAATGACTTCACAGATTTTGGATTGCACAAAACCACAAATTAGTGCCAGAAATTGAGTTCAGCCTTGGTTGTATCCTTAGGGACAGTGCTGCTGACTCCTGCGTGACTAGGAAGCTTTGATTGCCTTTTCCACCTTCAGGACTTGATTTGTGTTGAGACTTAATCTCATTAAAGATCAAGTTTCATGGGTTGATTGATTGATCTTCCCAGCAAAATTGTTGTTTTTTTCTGTTTTTCTTCAAATCCCATAGGAAAAAATTACAAGCCCTCTTTTAGATTTTATATTTAAGAATTTGCCTGTACTCTTTAGTATCATACAATGAAAAATGTAGACTTTGTACCATTTTATGCGTGTGTACATGTTCGGCGCTTTAGATGCACACTTTACTTACACTTCATGTAGGAAGTAGGAATGCAATTAGGAAGCTAAATCTCAATTATTGATTTTTGCTTGTTAGGCTCAATGTGGAAAGAGTACATATGCAAATATGTAAAGTACAAATATATACAAAATACAAGGTTTTGCACTCTACATATTTGTATTTGTACCCCTTCCAAACCGAGCCTTGGAAAGAGTACAAATACAAATGTATATAGTATTATAAATACATACAAATTACAAGGTTTTACACTACATATTTGTATTTATACTCCTTCCAAACTAAGCCTTAGGCCCTGTTCATATACTGGTAAATAAGCTTGGGGAAGTTGGTCAATATATATCTTTTTTCCATTGACCAATTTCACAATGTTCTTTTTGCATTTACCAATGTGCCCTGCGGTAAAATAAGTTCCACCTCTACGAGTAAAACTTATCTATCTCCTAGGTAGGTAAGTAACTTTCTCACCTGAGGGGAAATTTTATGAAGCATAATGGGACAACTTTGCCCATTTTTATATTAGCTTTTTATAGGTAAAAATGTCATTTTATTACTTGGGAATCCTGGAAATCAAAAGAACATGTGTAAGTGCACTTACCCAGAAAACATTTACCACTTACCCGGGTAAGTTACAAAGATGCAAACAAACGAGCCTTGATATTCATCTAAATAATTAAGATTTTATTCGGTGTGATCATATCATCCATGTCCCAACTATATAAGGCCATCAAGTTGGCAACATGAATCCTATTTCACCAATCCATTCTATTTAAAATTATATCTACTGTCGAATTATTACTACTTAAATAATTTCTTACTACTTCTACCCATGTCCCTTTTGGTCCACTCCTATCTCTTGTAGCCCTTTCATTTGTAACAAATCACTTCTAACCGGAGCTATTAGTGGTCTTCTATACATATAACCAAGCCATCTTAGTTTATTCTTTCTCATTTTATCACTTATTGGAACTATTCTTAGGTTTTTATGGATGAATTCGTTCTTAATCTTATCATTTTTTAGTTTTTCAAGGTTTTTAATACCAGGCCGAATAGGGAACCATTCTAGGGACCAATTCCCGAGTCGAATTGTTTAACCGTTTGATTTGAATGGGTGGCCCGTTCTAACTTAAAAAAATAAAAAACAGCAAAAAACCATTGTTCGTGTCAACGATTAGACGGTTTGACCACTCAGGTCAGTGGATAGTTGACCAAATAAATGGTTTTGGCCAAAAACTAATTTTAAGGTAAAACGAACTGGTTACCTGACCAATTTCTGGTTTTTCTGGTCTGGCTCAATTTTCAAAACCATGAGTTTTTTCACTCATTCGTCTTAGCATTTACATTTCAGCCACACTCATTTTCGAAACATATTGTTTATTGACTACCCAACACTCTACTCCATACAACATAGCTAGCCTCGCAACTATTTTATTGAAATTTTCTTTTAATCTAAGTGGTATTCTCCTATCATACAAAAGTCCAAATGTACCATTCCATTTTGCCTAACTTGCTTTATTTCTCTAGGTGGCATCCTCCTAGTTCTCTACCTTGCTATGAATTATTGAACCAAGGTACTAGAAATGGTTACATTGGGTTATCTCTTGGTCTCCAATCTTAGGTGTATCCTAATACACACCTATTATTACCTTTTTCTTTTGGTAAAGGATAAACACCTATTATTACTAAATTTACATGTCATATACTCTTATTTAGTCCTACTTATTCTGAAACCTCTTGTTTCTAGGACATTTGTCTATAAACTTAATTTGCATTTAATCCTTCATTAGTTTTATCAATTATAACAATATCATTTGCAAATAACATGCACCATGAAACTTCTTCCTGAATATGTTTAGTCAGTTCATCTATAATCAATGCAAATAAATAAGTGCTTAGTGTTGAACTTTGGCAAAGGTCCATCATAATTGTAAAATCTAAAGTCTTTCTCACCGTGTTCTACATTGATTGTTGCCCCTCCATACATATCCTTAATTAGGTTTATATACCTACTTTGAAGTCATTTCTTTTCTAAGACCCACCATATTATCTTTCTGAGAACTCTCATCATACGCCTTTTCTAGATCAATGAACACTATATAAAGATCTTTCTTCTTTTCTTTGAACTTTTCTATCAATCGTCTCAAAAGAAATATAACTTATATGGTTCATCTCCTTAACATAAAGTCAAATTAGTCTTCCAATATACTTGTTTCAAGTTATTGTCTTTGTTCAATTATTCTCTTTCAAAATTTCATAGTGTGGCTTGTGAGTTTAATTCCTTAGTAATTATTATAACTTTGTATATCACTTTTGTTCTTAAATATAGGCATCAAACTACTATTCTCCAGCTATCAGGCATAGGTTTTTTATTATTTTTTACTTTCTTATTAAATATCTTAGTCATATCACACCTACCTCTCATATACCTTTCCACATTTCTATTGGAATCCCATCAAATCCTAATGCCTTTTCCTTCTTTATCTTATTTATTGCATCTTTTACTTTAGTATGCCTGACTACGAAGGTACTCATTATTTTTAACACTATTAGTATTATTAACTTTTCCTCTATTAGCACCCTCTCCTTGTTCATTTAATAAATTTTCAAAATAGTTTTTCATCTTTGTTTGATTTCCTCATCTTTTACTAAAATTCTTTCGTCTTCAACTTTAATGCACCTAATATGGTTTAAATCTATGTACTTCCTTTTTCCCGACTTTGCTAGTTTATAAAATCTTTTTTTCTCTTTCTTTAGTGCCTAATTTATAGCAAAATTCATCATAAACCCTACATTTAGCTTCAACTCTTTTTAAACTTCATTTCTTATGGTTTTATATTTTTCCAATTTTCTACATTTTTAAATTTTTAATCATTCTTTAACATGCTCATTTTAATCTGATTATATTTTAAACTTTTTCATTTCACATTTTATCGAGTGTAATCAATAGCTTTATTCAATTTTCCAACAATTACTAACTGTTAAAATAACTAGACAAACAATGAATAATCACTTGATTTAAAATTCATAATTATACAAGAATCCTTTTCAAGTGATTCTCTACTATCTATAAATAGGTGTAAATAAGGGTAATTTTTACACCAAAATTTAATTTCCACATTTATTCATGGTTTAAAATATCAACACGCTTGATGCACATTTTTTGCATATCATGCCATTCAAAAGGTCAAAACCCTATTTTTTTGGGGTAAAGTAAATTGAAGATTAGTACACTTTGTGGCTAATCTTACTTTAATATCCAAACTTCAAAATGTGCCACTACAGTACCTGAAATCTCAAATAGTTACTTGATTTAAAATCATAACCGATGTTAGATGGTATGTAAAAGGACACAATTACCCTTTTAAGTAGTGAATAGGTGAGAGAAGCATAATTTTGAAATGGCCAAAATAGTCATATCGAAATCCCTTTTCACTATGATTAGGCACCATTTTTCATTGGAGAAGATGGCGTTGCCATAGAAGCGGAATTTAAACTATCATTGTTGTAATGATTTTTTCAATCCATAACAGGGGGGTTAGACCACCATCCTTATCGGAGAATATGAGTAATTCTTGCAGTTGCCAAGGAAAACAATCAGGGTAAAATGGTCTAAAAAATATTAAAAGAAAGTATTTTTGCCGTTAAAAAAAATTAAGTCACACGTGCCATCACATGATATCATCACATGATATAGATAACTGACAAACTACTAACAACAGGTACTAAATTGACAATTTTGGGGAGTTCAGGCACTACAGTAGCATGTTTTGAAGTTCAAATGCTAAAGTGAGATTAGCCCCAAAGTAGAGGGTACTAATCTATAATTTACCCCTTTTCAGCTTTGGATTTTCATAATAGACATATTAAGAGGGTTTAAATGTGTAAACATAAAGAATCCCCATACACAGATGTTCTCAGTGTGGCTATAGTGATGTGTGGGTAAGAGATCTGAAGTTTTAATGGGTTCAAAAACCAATACGTTAGGATGTTTTGAACCTTGCATTTATCTTTCAATCAAAATTGTTATAAGCTCATAGAAGGCTTTTTTTGGACGAACTTGAATTTTTTTTAAACCCCAAACATTATCTTGTTGGAGGGGTGGCCACCGTAAAATTTTATAAATATAATATTATGAACTTCCACTTTACTAGTTGCAATTATTAAGCAAAGGTTTTGTTGTATCTTGAACTCTTACATCTTGATAGCAAATTCAATTTGCTATGTTGAGACTGATGGACTGAGTAGATGCAGAGATGAATGGCTGAGATCTTGGTGTATCAAACCCGCATACAAAGAGAGAATAAGAGTAACTGCACAATACAGGATCCAAGGCACCTATCTCTCAAACAAAATGCAAGAGAGAACTGTCAAATCTGGATGGAGCCGAAATTTGGAGGTTGCTTGACCTTCCAAGTTATCTTTGATTTTTTTGCACACACTGCTACCTTTGTGATAGCCATATATATAGGTCTTTCCCCAACGTTCCCTTCCTTGTTTTGAGGAGGGAGCGTAACCGACTTAAACGTTTGGAGGGAAGACCAGGTCAAGGCCTCTCTAGATTGAGACAAATGTCTTATACTGACCAAGGATCTATTCACATGACCATCCAGTCTAGACTAGGTCAAATGGATATCCATTGACCCAATAAGAGTTAGAATTTGAATCCAAAATAATCCAACAATATTGGTATCTCCACACATAAAAATATTTTCAAATAAACAATCAAATAAATTTATTTTTTATAAAAAATAAATAAATAAGTAATAATTTAAAATGAATGATTGTGTGTGAGAGTATTGCATGGAGATAACCATAAAATCATCTTCCATCAACATGTGGCTTGTCACATGGCCATTGGATATTCCAGCATATTGAGGATTAAACGAGGGCCTATGGCCACTCTACCATCAGAGACAAATAACATTCTAAAGATAGGATCTTTAAATTGACCTTAAGAGCTTCAATCATGTTTTCTGAAACTATTTTTCCCAATGATTTCTCTGCAAGATGAAAAAGCAACAAAAGGGCTAAAGCATCCTGGAAGCTGGAACATTTAACGGAAAGGTGGATCCACAAAGATCCATAAAATAAACAGGATAATGAGAGTTGATTCTCTTTTACTTTCTTTTCATTATAATAATTTTATTTTCTTCCATGAGGTTAATTCAGAAGGAAGGACATCTTCATTACAAGAAAGTACAGCTCCAGCCATTAATTTTCCAAGCCAACCATGATAAAGCAGACCCCTTGACCCAAGCCCCCCAACCAACCAATATTTAGTTCCGTCTTTTCCATCAACAAAATCATCAATGCAACCCAAAATTGGAAGTGATCCAAGAGGAGTTTTTGGTGGCATGGCTCTCACACCTGCTCTTGCTCCTTTAAAAATCCACTTCTGTATGCCAGGGTAATTGGCTGAGGCCTTTGGTAGAAGCTCTTCGAGAGCAAATGAAGCCTCCTCTGCAGACACATTAGGTGAATAATTTCTTGATTTCCAATCCCATGTTGAGCCCATAACCATATCACGAGGCCCCTGGACGGCAAGCCAAGCATCTGACAAGACTGAAGGGCTATGTTCTCCATATTCATCTCTGAAACACATACATGAAAATGACCCCAAAAATATACTGCCAAAAAGAGAGGAAAAAAAGAAAGGAAAACAAAACATCTGAGTAAAAGATTGATGTTACTCTATATCGTTGGGCAACTGCAGGTGAGCAACAACACCTCTGCATGTCCTCAAAGGGAGCTCTCCTGATAGCTCTGGAAGTGTGCCTGCTTTCGCACCTAGACATATTATTATGGCATTGTATTCCCCTGTACATCATAATTTCAGTTACGACTTGTGATCTTTATCTTGGTCCCTAATGATGAATATTACAATTGGCTTAAAAAATTTATTACAGTTCTAGTCATCTCCAAGTGGATTAACTTGAGAGAGATAGAATCACAACTGAGAATCTTGGTGACCATAACCAGTGGTCCTTTTGGCCTTTACAGGCTTCTTCCACATGCAACAAGAAAAAGCTTAGCTCCAAAATATGTATGTGAACCAACCATGTTCGGTTCAAGATGAATGTGTAATAACTCTAAATACCGTTATCCTTATTCAGGCTTCACAATGCTGGAAAATGCCAGGTAATTTAAATAGAAAATTTTTTAGAAGCATTGAAGAAAATATACACATGCTGCATATACAGGAACAAATAATGGCATGGATCTGTTTTGGTCCTTCTATAACCAATTCACTAACGAGATGCTGATTGAATGAACCTGGAAGTGTAGCATGTGATGTTACCTGCTAGTTCAATGAGTTTGTGAACAGATTTCTTGTGCAAATTTATTTCTTTCTCTTCATAACCTGACACCAATGAACTCTTCACTAGTTTTTTGCATGCTAAGAAAAGTGCCTACAAAATAATCAAAAAACAGATGGTTCATATATGTATTTAGTAAAATCCACAATAGATGAAATGAAATGGGAAATAGGACTGCTTTACTCAGACTTGAAGATAGCGTTGGGGATGGATAGTCATGGCTTCAGGCATAAAAATGGCAGAGAGAGGCACACATATATTGGGAATGAGATTTTGAGCAGCATCCTTATCTATGGACTCTATTCTGCAACTTTCCAGGCAGTTTCGAGCATTCTAATCTCATAAAAGCAATAAACAAAGATCATTGTGAAGAAAAGTTTCAAAAAGAAAGATATCCTAATTTATAATTAAGAAAGTTAAGTTAGAGAAAATCACCTCATTCAATATATCCACATTTTTCATGGTTGCTGGCCTCAAGATGCCCCTAATTCAACATTCATCGGACATGTAAGCTAAGAACAAAGAGATATTTTGTTTGGAAAAATGGAAGAAAAACATGCAGATAATGGAATAGATATCCATAGCCTAGTTCATCAAGAAATAAAGGATAATCTCATAGGGGGCACTCTGACAATTAGTAGTAAACAGTTCATCAGAAAGTATAATATAACTAAAGATCCAAATTAACATTTACATGAATCCATTATTCCATTTGAAGTGCATGTGCAGCATAGTGCATGAACCCCTTTACTAATGAATTTCAAGAGTTTCATTTATGTTTGTGAGAACCAACTCCCACAAGGCTCAAGCACTTTATGACAAGAAGGGTTAATATGTAACCAATTTGGCACTCCAGACGAAGAAAAACTAAAATGTTCCTATGATCCTACATCTACTAGTCTCAACTTTTTTTTCCCAGTTCTTGCCCATTTAAAACCCCAAGCTGAAATTAACAGTTCTGTAATTTTGCACAAGGCTGAATTCTGGTTTAGAGTTTTTCTGTTTGCTTGGGTGATTTCTCATCATCGATTTGATGTAATCTTTGATGTGCTTTTTTTTTCATTTAATAAAATTTTCTTTTTTATTTACTACCAAAAAATCCATATACTTGAACAATTCCACTAATACAACTCATTTGCACAAAATCGAAAGTTTGAATTATTTGCCTAAATTTCTGGTCTAGAATCCATCTCCAATCAAAATTTACTAATATCAGAATACAGTTTATTCAAAATTTTGATGAAATTAAAACTGTACAAACACAGAATAGTTAAATGTAGGTCAAAAAGAAAAAACATTTTGGGCGGTATACAAGCTACAGAAAAATACCAATACATGATGGAAAGAAATTAAGGGACCAAACCTTCTCCAAACTATTGATTCATCATTGTTCTGATTCAAATCTTGGGTTAGCCTGTCTAGCTCCCTAGAGATAATAGCTGCTTCTGCAATGTTTAAGAGCTCTATAGACTCTTTCCAACACTCTGCACCCCTCCAAAGAAGCTTAGCTGCAAAAAATTGAACTGTTTCGCATGACACAAGCTTAAACTAGTGTTATTCCTAGAATGAAGGATGCATCACCTCAGAAAAACAAATGCTTCTTAGCAAGAAAAGTGAAGAGATAAAAGAATGACATCACGTCATCAAGGTCTGACCCATTCATACCCTAAATTAGATAAAAGGAGATGAGGAACCTTTAGGAGAATAAGGATGAATCAGTCCTCCAGAAACCCCAGAAGCACCACCTCCAATGCCAACCTCATCATAGATGTCAATGCATAATTTCAGCTCCTTCGATGCTTGCTGTGAAAGAAGATCATGACAATCAAATAAAAGCATCTGGTAGTGCATGAATCTGGTCACATAAAACATCACTTAGAAACAAAAGCAATTGTTGACAAGCAGTCCAGGCTCATTTCTGTTCCGATAGGGATTTGTCATATGTTCAGACATGGTTACCAGTATGAACTATCCAAATGGTCAGGCCATCTATTGTATGATTTGAAATCTTCCAATCATTTTGACTGTACCCCAGGCTTTTGCTCAGATCTGAGTGCAAGTTGATCAGGTTTGAAGGGATTGAAGGATGGCCTAAGCTAACTGAATTTTGTTATTGTCATGAGGAAACTGTTAAGTATTATACTCCTAATTTGACTACAAGAGTTCATATGAATGGAGTAGAGCAAGTGTCATGAGGATATATGGTAGGCTTTTGATGCAATGGTGTTTTAAGTCTCAACATTTTTACCCGAATTATAGCATTGGAAATTTGGAAGTTAAGGTATTTTGGCACATAACACAATGCACAAAACACAAGTTAAGGTATATGGTAGGCATCACATAAGGCAACTAAAGTGGAAACACCTCCCTGCCGGGAGAAACACCAAAAAGACATTTTCCTCAACACCCCCATGCACATAACCCAATGTAAAGGGTGGTGCCAACATTTGAAGTTAAATCTACCTAACCAAACATGATTTGGTACTATGAAGTCAAAATGCCTACGTGGCACTTAGATGGACTCTAAATGAGAACACAAAATTATGGTTCAAAATACAATTATAATTGTTCCATAAATGAATTAAAAGGGGAAGAAAGTAAAACACTTAAGAATTATTGCCTAAAGAACCCATGCACCTAGCTAGAATCCCTTTCCGATTGTATTAGGATCTAAGCAGTTAGAGGAAGCTCCATTGCAAGAGTTGAAATTGAGGAGAAATCAAGAAGAAAGAAATCTTGGAATATGGGAAGAACATCCTAAGTGGGTGTCATTGTTGGAACCTATAAATCCAGCTATTCCCATAGGGAAGTCCATTAAGAGGCGCCAGGCCGTAGATAGAAAAAGTTTGAAATTACTATCTGCAATAATTACTATTGTTCATAGGAAAATTTGTTCTATGTCCTATTAATTTATGATTTTTATGAGATATTAAAAGTTCCTGAGTGCTAAGCATATGCTTGGCCTATAAAGCTTTATAAATATATTGTTAGGATTTCCCTAAGAGATGGATTGAGTTTTGAAATAAATTTGAAGTGTTTTATTGTGGTACTTAGAGGTATGATCTTCCTCTCTCTCTTATTTTCCCTTTTCAACCTATATATTCTAAAGTGCATGCTCCTTCCTGTAGTCTTCATCCTTTGGCAGAATTTAGCCTACTGTCCTCTGTATTTCCCTTTCTTAAGTTTGCATTAGAGATCTGAAATTCCTCTAATCTCAGTTCTAGATATTTCAGGCACAAAACCATCTTTCTCAACCCTACCATTAAACCCATTCCAGATCTGAAACCATTCCCTTGATTATTTTCAGATCCAACCCCTCCATTAACCCACCATTTCTGAATCCATAGGGCAAACCCTTCCTATCCTATATCAACCTTAGATGGTCCTGTCTGATTGTCATATCACTCCCTAATCCTTTGGGCTAGGATTTCATTACAACCCACTATTTACATTTCTTCCCATCACAAATTCCGTTTGAAAAAATGTTCTTAACAAGAATTTGAATCTCTGAACTAAAAAAGTTGGAAGACAGGATAAGGATTCATCATAAACAATCAAGTTAGCCAAGGAATTGCATGTTAAAGTGCTCTTACCTCCTTCTGGTGATGATTCCTGTTCCAACTTGTAAATTTCTTCCTAAATCTTTATCAGATATCAAATGAACAAGAATTTAAAACTAGCCCCTAGATGCGATTTCACGCAGGTAATGGGCTAAAAAGATATTCCAAAATCCAACATGCTGGTATCTTTAATGTTCAGTAATTTTCCCACCTGAAAGATTTCAATTTTTCTACAATTAATCCTCAAACCACTAGCTGCCTAAGAAACAAAAGGGTACTTTGTCAGTGTTGGACACTTGATGTAACCTCTGCACCAGAGACTTCGTCTATGCCTTGGGCTTGCTGTGTCAGTGTAACATAGGACCCAAGCACTATGATCTGATGCAAGCTGATAAAGTCCAAAAGACCAAGGCTAGCCTTAGAATAGAAGAATCAGATCATTAAGCTGCTAACGTTGAGACCTAAGTAGGAAGGATGGTCCCCATAATTAGAGCCAAGTCATGCCCCAATTTAAGGGCACAATTCTAAAAGACGGTTTACCCAGATTACATAGCCTCCTATCCTCCATTATAAACAAGCAGCCTGAAGAACCGCAAGAAGAAAGGGGAAAGAGGGTAAACATATACATATGATCCAAACTAGAGACAACGTTGGCATACTATATTTCTTCCTGTCAAAGAAAATGCAATTGATAAAATTCATAGGATCACCCAATCAATGTAGAATTCGGGCTAGTTAGGTTGTGCCTATAATTGGGCATCCCGATCCATGAATAACTCGGCAAAAGCATTAGGGTAAACACCCGAAGTACGATGCTTACCAGACTCTGTTACCATTTCCATGCTTTGCGGTGACCCTATTATTCAATGGAAAAGAGAAGATCAAATACATAGCATATAGTTCCATGTTTCACACAAGACCAATAATTTTGCATGACTTCCAAAGAAATGTTCGAGCATTGAAAGAAAAAGACTCATCAGACATATAAACTGAACCATAGTAGTCCAGATTACCGAGAACAAGAAAATATATAAAATTAGTAAACCTACATAAGCACTCATGTATATCCAGGTTCAAGTACCTTTAACAGATGCCAAGCCACAGAGAGTCCAGCAAAACCAGCTCCAAGCACTGCGTACCTGAAACGCGAAGGAAAGCAAACTGGGATTGTTAAAGATATTCAAGCATGCCTTCCTATACATAAGAAGAGATTGAAAAATGAAGAAGGATAAGACGAAGACCTGAGAGGTGGTTGAGCGGAGGAAGTGAAGGAACGGATCGAAGAAGACACAATGGATGATGAACAAACATTTCCATTGGGTTGCCGGTGCCCATGAAGGGTCACCAGAGATTTCCTTCCCAACGGTAACAATATAGGGCTAGGGTTTCTGATGCCAAGATGGAGAACCATCCTATGCTCAGAAGACCAGCACCCTGGCTGACTGGATAATGTCTTCAAGCTTCAGTTTCTTTTTCTTAGCTCTTCTTTCCCGCTCCTACACTACATTCCCTACTGAAGTCCACCTCCTCCAATCCGGTAAAAGAGCCTTAAGCCGGTCTGGTCGAGTCAATGCTAGCTTGAGCGACACTGACGCACTGTGGTGAATAGACCAGTTGGTAAAGCGGTTGAATCCGGTCGGTTTGACAACCGAACCATATTATAGTTGCATGTTGCATGTTGCATCTTTCACCGTATCCATCTCACATTATGGTGGAATCAGGGTGAGGACAGAGCAGGGTGCTGGGGCTGTCAATGGGTCGGTTCTACCCGACCGAATCAAACAGAACCGATTACATCAGTTTTGGTTCTGTTATTTTGTTCCAATTAACAATCAGAGTCGCTTGTGGTTCTTGCCGGTTTTGAATCGATTATTTTGTAAATGATATATAAAGGTTTCTTTTTTTTGTAATTTTTATCTATTTTTTATGTTTAAAAGGTTAAATTTGATAGATAATATATAAGATTAATTCTGGTTAAAAATATTTGATTTATTAACATATAAATAATTTACTAATTTAATGTCATTTTTTATTGAAATTATATTATCAAATATCAAAATTTAAGTTGTTATTTATATAAATAAATATAGATATCAGTATAATCGGGCCTACCGGGTCAGACCTGATTACCCTGATTAACAATTAGGATGGTTTTGGATTTATCATTTTGTCCTCCTAATTAATATTTGTGATGAGACTGGAACAACCTACAACCAACTCAAACTTGATCCATTGAAAACCCTATAGGGTGTACATTAAGCCCCATAAAGCCATCGGCTACACTATGAAAAGCCTGTGGTTGAGTGGGTTTAATCCCACACATCTCGAATTCGACTTTTGTCAACGCAAATCGGTGTTCCGATCAAGCCCTTACAATTTTATATTGAAAATATTTCTCATAAAATAAATCACATAAGTACGAAAATATTCCAATGTAAGATTGTAAAGGCTGTTAGAACGGGCTTTGCCCTGACCGAAAGCGAATTCACACATCTCTTGTTATGGAGGTATGTCAACCGGCTATCTCAATTACTAGGTCATTGTCAAACCCAAAGTCAGCAAATATGACATGAAAAGTCCATGCTTTTCATTTTAATAATGAAAAATACGTATTTCATATATGCATATTTATAAGTATTATAATAAATTACTAAGTTTTCCATCTTATAAAATATATAAAAATAATTGATTTTTATGATAGATTTTATTTATATAATTTATGATTTTTTCATAATTTTTCCATACTTTTGAATCGTTTGGTATTTCATTAAAAACCTATACAAATATGTACCAAGCAACTATGACTCAAAACCACACCTGTCGTGGCAAATCTGATCCAAGAAATTTATCTTGCACCAATCTTACTAGTGTTTGGGGTTTGGGGACTGTTTATTATCTCTATTCTCTAATTTTTAAATGGGGTTTTCAAATAAAGTTTTGTTTGGTTTGAAGAAAAAAGTAAGGAAAGGAAGGGAAAGGTAGAGAAACTTTTATAAACTTTGTATAGATTTTCCTACTTTTTCCTTCAACCAAACGCAGCCCAAGTTTTTAACTGTTTATTGAGTAAGCAGCTTTTGTGTTTGGTGTGACATTTTAAACAGGCTTTTTATTTTTTATTTTTTTTGTTATAAGAGTGTTTCTCCAAAACACCATGAACAAGAAGTCCAAAATTTTCAACCTTGTTTTTTTAAAAAAAAACACGAGTTTTTTGGGTGAAAAACCAAAAAGCATTCTTTTGGCTTTTTTATTAGTCACCCATTTGGGGGGCCTTTTTAGGTGTTTTTGAAATCTAATTTGCATAAACTGAATAAATATTTAAAAAGAATCACCCCCAAACACAGGCTTAACTTGAAAACCAACTTAAGATTTTCTCTATAGGGCCAAAGAAAGGTTGGATGAAATCGGATGGAAATATACCTAAATCCAATATTCGAGAGATCCAAATTCAATAAGCAATAATCATTAATTCATTATTCAATATGCCTTAGTGCCTTACAACTTATTAAGAAGGGGCTTTCCATACATCTCATGCCCAACATTATAAGGAGCTGCTAAGATGTGCGATTGTTTTTGCAAAATAAAACCAAACCAACCATGTTGTCGAATACCTCCTTAATTAAATCTTCGGCCGGTATTTTTGTTTTTGAAAACAAAATCAATCATGTTATAGAACACCATCTCAATCCAATCTGGCACTCCATTTGGTTAATAAGTTAGGAGTCATTTATTAAAACACCCTAGAGTTTCATGGATTTACTAAAATCTGTTCTAGTCTGTATTTAACTAAAACATCTCTTATAGTTTGCAACTGATTTGCTTAGGTTCAATTTGGAAAGAATACAAATACAAATATGTAGACCCCAAAACCTTATACATTGTATTATTTTATATGTATTTATACTGTACATATTTGTATTTGTATTCTTTTCAAATTGAGCCTTAATTGACATTTCATTAAGAACCTTTTATATTGCCATTTAGAAATGGTTATGTGACCATATAGATCAAGTGGAAAGTGTTCAAGGGCATGGGTCTAAGATTGTTTATTCTGAAAATACCCCTTCTACTTCCTAGGGCAGAAAACAAAATTGATTGCACAAAGTGCTTGTCTACGTCTTATCTTCCATTTTTATTTTTTTATTAAATTTGTTTGAATGGATATTAAGATTAAAAATAGAGAAAATTCTCAATTAATACCCTATACTTTGGGCCTAATGCCACTTTGGCCCCCAAACTTTAAAACCCGACAATTCAGTACCCGAACTTTCAAAACATGCCAATCCACTACTTGTTGTTAACTAGCCGTAAAGTGGCATTTGAAAAGACACAAATGCCCTTCGAGTGTCATCTAATTTTCTTTATCAACCATCCAAACATTGATAAAAAATGAAAAACCCCAAGTCCTTGCCTCTTCTATTTAAGAAAGTTGGGATCACTAAAATGTCCATTGAGACCCGACTCCAACTTTCTTGAATAGAAGATGCAAGGATTTGGTACTATTCATTTTTTATCAATGTTTGGATGGTTGATATAGAGAATTAGATGACACTTGAAGGGCATTTATGTCTTTTCAAATGCCACTTAACAGCTGGTTAACAAATTGATTAACAACAGGTAGTGGATTGGCATGTTTTGAAAGTTCATGTATTGAATTGTCGCGCTTTAAAGTTTGGGGACCAAGGTGACACTAGGCCCAAAGTATAGGGTACTAATCAGGAACTTCCCTTAAAAATATCTATTAATAGTTGTTATTTTTTTATGTATAGTACCACAGGGGTACTATTGTACTTTTACTCTTTTTATTTTAGTTGATGTCGCCCTACTATATATATCAAAAAAGTTGCATTGCTAGCAGGATCTGAAAGGAGAAGTCAAGTGAACAGTTTTTTCTTCTTCGCACCAGATTTCCAGAATTTCCGCCCTCATCTGTTGTTTGATTGATTGAAGATCTCACACACTAAAGTAAATTTTCTATCTCTCTCTCTCTTACCTTTTTTTCTGGTCGTGTGCCAAGGCAGAACCTGTACTAGGTCTGCTGATTGGATGTGAGGTGATCAACACCAATTTCTTTCCTTTTTTGTGGGGTCGACTAATCCCTGTGAAACTGTTGGTCGTGAGGACCTTTTGTGTGCTGCAATAGCAGCTTTTATGGTGAACTAAGGGTCAGAAAGTGACCAGTACCTCTTGTGTGCTACAACAACAACTTTTATGGTGAACTGAAGGTCAGAAAGTGACTAGTACTTGCTGTAACAATAGTCCTATTGATGCGTAGGTCAAGAGATGACCTGTATGCACTGTGGCAACACTTGTGATGAGCTTATAAGTCAAGGGATGACCTGTTAGTGCTGTAACAACACCTGTGTTTTTACAAAAGGATGTGTGTTTCTGAAGAAAAAAAAATTGTTCCCCCTCAGTGTTGAATTTCTTTAAGACTGTGTACCCCATTTAAGAGTTGTTTTTGAATATGAAATCATGAGTGGTGAAGATTCTGCTACATCCGGTGTTTCCTCAATGCTGAATGGAATGAGTGGGGGTGTAGACCTATCCTTTCCCATAGTTGTTATTCCTCTTGATGGTTTAAATTATTTAGAGTGGTCAAGAGGGATCAAACTATAGATCATTGCAATGGGAAAGATAGGTTATATTAAAGGGAGAATCAAAGAACCACATTCGGGGAGTGCTAAATATGACAGACGGAACTGGGAAAATAGCATGGTCATGTTTTGGCTTTTAGTTTCTATGCAACCTCAAATAAGAAGGAATTTCATGTGGACTGAAACGACAAATGAGATTTGGGAACAAGCAAAATCAACATATTTGGAACTGTGACACTATGCAAAAATCTGCCAGTTACAGGCAGAATCATCTACTTGTAAACAGGGGGAGAGGTGTCTATCTGTATACTACTCAGATAGAGTGCAAAGCCCCACATCAGCTTCTCTTTTCTAAGGCCCCCCTTCTTTCCATTCCTCCTCGTGTGTTTGGTTATCGTTGCTTTGTCCAAAATCTGTCACCCACTCGTGGAAAATTGGACCCACGTGCTATTCCTTGTACATTCCTAGGGTACTCATTCACTCAGAAGGGATACCGTTGCTTTGATCCTGTTTCTCGAAAATTCTATGTTTCCATGGATGTCTCTTTCTTTGAGAGTGAGCCTTTTTTCCATGTTTCTCCTCAAGGGGAGAGTAGGAATGAGGAGAAATAGGTTCAACTCTCTCCTTTTCTTGATCCTCCTCCTTTTCATGTCTTCTTTCGTTGTTACAAAGGCCAACCAAATTCAAGAGCTGTGGAGAATCCAGAAGTTGTACCTCCAATGCCATTAAACTCTTTGGGGGTGGATCATACTCACTCAGGTATCTTGGTTCTCATTGATGTTCCTAACCCATTGCAATTGATATTGTTGTTAATGACCTTGACCTTCCTATTGCTCACAGAAAAGGTGATAGATCGTGCACCACTAAACACCTCATTTCCCACTTTATTTCCTATGAAAACATTTCACCCTCTTTTCGAGCCTTTTTCACATCCATTGATAGTGCCCCTATCCCTAAGAATGTGCAGAAGCTCTTTCAGTACCTGAATGAACAGATGCTATGAAGAAATAAATTAATGCCCTTCATAAAAATGGCACATGGGAACTTGTATATCTTTCTAAGGGAAAGAATCCAGTTGGATGTAAATGGGTATTCATAGTCAAACATATGGTTGATGGCACGATGGAGAGGTATAAAGCTTGTTTAGTGGCAAAAGGGTTTACATAAGTGTACGGAGTTGATTATGCAGAGACATTTGCACCCATTGCCAAAGATGAACTCCATTAGAGTTCTATTCTCTCTTGCTACTAATCTTGACTAGGATCTACATCAGCTTGATATTAAGAATGCAATTTTGAATGGTGACCTTGAAGATGAAGTTTACATGATACAATCCCCTAGTTTTCAGGCTCAATGCAATGAACAAAAGGTGTGCAGGTTGAAAAAGTCTTTATACGGGCTGAAACAATCACTGAGAGCCTGGTTCAGTAGATTTCATGCAGCGGTTCAACAAAAAGGATACAACCAATGTTAATCTGATCACACATTGTTTGTGAAAAGAGGAAAAGGTAAAATTGTTGCTTTGATAGTACATGTTGATGATATAATTATCACTGGTGACTGGAAGGATGAAATCCAAAAGTTGAAGAGTTTTATTGCCACATAGTTTGAAGTAAAGGATCTAAGTCCTCTAAGATACTTCCTAGGAATTGAAGTTGCCCGTTCAAAAAGGGGTATCTTCATTTCCCAAAGGAACAATGTCCTAGGTTTACTCCAAGATACAAGAAAAATGGGAGTGGAGCCAGTTGATTCCCCTATTGATCCTAACCATAAATTAGGTGACAACCAAGGTGAACATATCAAGGATGTGGAATAGTTTTAGAGATTTATAGGGAGATTGTTATATCTTTCTATGACCCGCTCAGACATTGCTTATGCAATTGGTGTCCTTAGTCAGTTCATGCATGCCCCTATGACCACTCATCTTGAAGCAGTAGAAAGAATCCTCTGATACCTTAAAAGGTTTCCAGGTGCTGACTTGTTGTTTCAAAGGGACGAACATTTGAAAGTTGAAGTGTATACTGATGCAAATTGGGCAGAATCCCTAAATGACAGAAAGTCAACTAGTGGCTACTGTACCTTCATAGGAGGAAATCTAGTTACTTGGAGAAGCAAAAAGCAAAGTGCGGTAGTTAGATCCAGTGCTAAAGCTGAATATCGAGCAATGACTCATAGAGTGGATGAGATTATGTGGATAAAGAATCTATTGAGTGAGTTGGGTTTTCTAGTGGACAAACCTATGACCCTATTCTGTGATAACAAAGCAGCTATAAACATTGTTACTAACCCTGTGCTACATGATAGAACTAAATACATCGAAGTCGATAAGCATTTTATCAGAGATAAGGTTATCACAAGGGAAGTGTGTACTTCCTATGTCAACTCTGATGATCAACTTGTAGACATCTTTACAAAAGGACTACACCACTCACGACATCATGATTTATGTGATAAGTTGGCCATGATTGACATCTATGTCCCAACTTGAGGGAGAGTGTTAACCGTTGTTATTTTTCCTATGTATAGTATCGTAGTGGTACTATTGTACTTTTACTCTTTTTTGTTTTAGTTGTTCTCGCCCTAGTATATATATTAAAAAAGCTGCAATGCCACTAGGATCTTTTGCTCTTAGTTCTCTCTTTTCTCTTCTTCTTTCTCTCTTTTCTCTCCTTCCATTCTTCTCTCATGCATAACAATATCATTTTAGTAAACACCCATCTAGATAAGTGGCATCTTATTTTATCAAAGCTTCTCAAAAATGACCATTTGCACTCTCAAACAAATGCTTACTTAAACATGTCGATCCATTTAAAAAAAGTATGGACTTCAAATAATAGTTACCTCCACTCTCAAATAGAGAAAAAAAAAACAACAAAAACTAAACTCATTTCAAATAAAACTTGACTTAGTTATTTGGTACATTTCCCGGTAAATAAACAATCCCCTAACTTCCCCGTTGAATTTTGAAAGTGAGTTAAGTCAGCTCACGAGGAATAAGAACCACAGAATACCATCTTGGGTACTAAACACACAAGGTCCCTGAAATGTCAAGGACGTCAAGATTAACTCTATCAATTCTGTACTCGTCACCGAGATGTGTTGTTGGGGCAGAAGAGGGATGCACTATGGGGGCATCAATGCAAATTCATATGCCATTGCCATGGCCATGATTTTTGAATCACCACCGTTGATCCAAATGATTGAACCATTTGGCCCAAAGACCATTCAGGCAACTGATTCTGTTTTATCCCAAGTCCAATCCGTCAAAAATCATTGAACCAGTCAACCTGTTGATCCAGATGGTCAAACTGTCAACCCATTTGACCAATTCAATGGTTTTTGACCATTTTTTATTTTAATTATTTTTATCTTTTTGTCAGAACAAGCCATCAATTCAAACTGGACCCATCAACCTAAAAACCGTTGACTAGAACGATTCCGAATCTTTTTTTAAAACATTGGTCATGGCTACCCTGACTGTACTTGTTTTGACGAGAATTAAAATAATAACCACTAGGGGCAGTAAAATATTCAGGGTTCAATTGTTTAACCAACTTCAGCTTCAGCCATCCATCAAGGAGCCACCTCTTCTGTTTCTTGCATTCGGATAAGCTTTAGGTGTGCTTTGAGCCCAAAATTACGAAGCCTCGGTTTTAGACTTCGAACATGGGGACTTGAAAGTGCTTAAAATATTTTTCGGATTAATCGAGTTTCCAGAGCCAAAAGATGAAAAGCAAAAGCTTATCCAAAAGGAACGTTATTCACCCAAGCAATGCAATAAGTTTTTCAGTTCAGCCACTCCAACTGTTATGAAAGGGCCCTTATCATTGACTCTGATAAATGACACCAGTATATTAATGCAGTCTAATAATCAAATACAAAGAAAAAACATATAGCTGATTAGGTGTATATTACAAGCTGACAAGTTGCATTTTGCACGGGTATCAGACAGAATGTATAAGATTATAAATTGGGGCCAAATCCAGCAACTCCATCTTGAGAATACAAACTGTCGGTTACTCCAGTGGCATGAACAATCTTCCATTGCTTCCATCGGTACTATCTTTTCCCGAGAGGAAAAGAGAATCCCAAAAAATCATGCCTTACGAACTATAACACGCCTTTCTCGCTTGTATTCAACTTCATCTCTCTGGTGCAAAATCAGCAGAGCTCTTCTCACCTGCCAAATGCAATAATACCAATCAGAACAATAATGCGTACAAACTCAATTACCAAGGAGATGGTGAGGACAAAAATAATGCTCAAGGGAAAGGAATCCATGAGATGGAACATGTTAACGACATAGTCGGGGCAGCGAGCTACTATATTCATCCAACCCCATTCTATTGGCACATCATGGACAAAACATTCATAACTATCACTTACTATGGACTCATTTAATCCCATTCTGGTGAGGTCATCAATCAGACGCCTCTCTGAAATTTGGCTCCCAATTCCCATTCTTCTCTTTATCTGTGTCTCAGCTTGCTGTTTGCACAAACCAAAACCAAAATGACAATTTTTTCAATCCATAAACTGAGAAACATAAATCATGTCTAATTGCCTACAGCAGACCTTAATCTCGTTTGCCATCTCAGCAGTCAGATTTATATGTTGATTTATTCCAGATCGTGCTGCATCCATTGTGGAAACGTTGAAGAGACGTATTGCTTCTTTAACATGATCCTCAGTTGCAACATGAGACCTAAAATTCAAGTTTCAGACAGTACAGGACCAATCAGTCATGATATGAAGATATATCAAGTCTGCATACGTGTGTGGTTAGTGGCAGCCTAAATAGATTATGCCAATGGAGAGCCATTTATCTGGCAATAATGACAACAAAAGGATCCGAGCTCCAACATGAAGATAAAATAGTTGGATACTCCTTGCAAGAAATGGCATTTTAGGCAAAGAAGTAATGCTAGGTTAGATATGTCCAAGAAGTAAAAGAAGATAGTACTGTCTGAAACTGTATGAAATATCAAGCACATGGACGCATAAATAAAGGGAAAATATATATGAAACGGATGGAAGAGGTCAAATAGGACACCGATTTACTATCTCCAACATAAATCAGGCCGACTTGTGACCTGGGAGGTCTGGTCAATTAGGTCTTTACATGCATGCCATTCATCCCTAATATCCTTTCTATGGTATCTAACAAGAACAATCTATGTCCCTCAAAACCATCATTTAATGTTTGATATGCATGCCAAAGTTTTATGCATTTCCTGTAACATTTTTCATGTACTAACCATGTGAAAAGTGTGAATTGAAGAAAACCTATGTTTGTCCAACAGTAGAATGTAGTACCTTGTTGGAACAGGAAGGTAAATTGAGGAAGGGCAAAGGTGGAATAAATGAAGAGAGTCACCAGAAGTCAATAGAAAATGGATTTGAATCCCACTTTGTACTGACTACATTCATTTTATAATTGTCTTATACGAAATGAGCTGTATGGGCATCCCATGAATTTGTTGAGGATAGTTAAGTTTGACATTTCTTTTCATGTTTGCCATAGACCCACATATTTATGTCTAAGCTACATAGATGATAATTTTTTGTCTTGATATATCCCATCCTAAATATTTATCACACAACAAATATAGCTTTAACTTGTTATGATATCATGCAATTATAGACTTTAATTATGAAAAGTTACATTGATCTTAACTTGAAATTTAAAGAATTTTTTTAACACTCAAAAGTATGGATATAGAATTACAATGTCTAAATTGGTTTTGGTAATAACCAGACTGGTATTAAGGCCAAGGTCCTGCTTTTGGAATTACATTCCAATTTTTGTCTTCAGAAGCAAATGGACACAAAGGAAAATATCAGTTGTGAACAAATGCAAAATTTAAGCATCATTCAGGAATTACTTACAATCTCATCTTTGCAAGGGCCTCGCTTAACCTTATTATAGCTTCCAGCTGCCTTACAGTAATTGGTACTGCAGCAGACTCCCCTGATTCATTTGCCTGTTGTCTCATATCCTGCAGGAACCAGAAAGATGGGGGCAAAAACCAATTAGTAGATTATGGGACTCAAAACAATTACCCTACAAACCTATTAAAGTCCAAAAAATGAATGCAAAATGCATCATCAGATTCACTCAATAAGTACTGGTTCTTGAGCCCCCTCAGCATGTTGCCCAGAGCAGGTATATATGTTGCACAGAATTAGGTCAGACATGCCAAAAGAATAAGAATGGGGTTTTAATCTTGAGAGAAGCCACTTTATGGCCCCAAAAAAGCCCAAGGTTGGTCCATAGCCAGACTACCCTTCCAAGACCCAGGATAGTTTGGACCTTCATTGGACAATGACCTTACACAAAGACATCCTGAGATAAGTGCTCATCATAAATAGAGATAGAACACAAGCCTACCTGTCTGATTTTAACATAGTTGTTCTGCAGCATGGTAGCTGCAGACTCTGATAGGCGGGGATGGCATTCAGTTCGACAATACTGTATGTATCTGCAGACAGACATAAGAATCAAAGAGTTCATATTGTGTATTTTACAAAGCAATCACATGGAATAACAATAATTAGTAACTTAAAATACACCTTTTGAGCCAATTCTCTTCTTTTGAAACTCTAGTGTCAGTTGAAGCTGCACCAGCGGAGGCATGGACTTTTATAATATGGCTAGCTATAAGCTGAAATGAGATAAAATCACGTTAAATAATGCAATGAAGTATGAGAACAGTAGCTGGGCAAGATTGTTGCTGCATACCTTATCCTGACTGTACATCCTGACATCTTTCACAATGAAGATCAGATCAAATCTGGAAAGAATTGTTGTCTGCAAATCAATGTTATCCTGTGCAGTCTGTAAATGGAAATATTTATCTGAGTTGACATGTTAAGAGAAATTTAAACCATCAATGTGATTTCCACAAACAATTGACCTTTAGATCATCATAACGTCCTGATGGAGGGTTAGCAGCTGCAAGCACAGATGTTCTGGAATTGAGAACAGTTGTAATTCCTGCTTTGGCAATGGATATAGTCTGCTGCTCCATTGCCTCATGAATAGCAACCCTGTGAGATAGAAATAATAGAACTCTTGGATTGAGATTTGAGAAGTTCATATAAATTTGGGCTTTGAGGACAACAAGAGCTATCAGGTTTTAATTCCATTCTAAATTACCTGTCTTCAGACCTCATTTTGTCAAATTCATCAATGCAAACAACTCCACCATCTGCTAAAACCATGGCTCCACCTTCAAGATAAAACTCACGCTGGAGTTGCATATAGTATAGTATTAGATAGAATGTTATAAAAAATGTATTGAGGGTCAAATTGGTTATCCAATCCACTAAAAATAAATTAAATGGGAAAAACCTAAAAGATCCACTAAGAACACATGCATATTTATCAAAGAATTCAACTCACTTACCGAGCTGCCATCACGAATCACCGAAGCTGTAAGACCAGCAGCAGATGAGCCTTTCCCTGAAGTATAAACAGCAATTGGAGCTGTCTTCTCAACGAACTTAAGAAACTTCATAGACATGGATATTTATCAGACAAATACAGTATTGTATGGTAATAACAGCATGACCATATCACATCTTAAATTCTTGTCTAAATGAGTACCATTCTAAGGGGCCAATACTTGGTGTAAAGGTAAAATATCAGGCTGGCATGTGTGAGAACAAAGGTTTAAGTCTGACGTGGCCAATTTGCATGAGAAAAAAAAACAAAGTTTGGACCATACCCAGTCTACTAGCCCCTCCCAAGACCCCAGATAACTGGGACCAACATTGGACAATGGCCTTTTAAAATGGGGACCATTCCCTCTCCAATAGACCAGAATTCTTTATCTGATAATTTAGGTTGTCATTACTTCAACAAACCAAAGAGCTTGTTAACAAAGCAATGCACAGAACAAACCTGTGATTTAGCAGTAGATGGGTCTCCCAATAATAAGACATTGATATCACCTCTTAATCGCACACCATCTGGTAATTCCTGCATTTTTGTAGGAAGTTAGTGGGCTACCAAGAATTCATACCCAATTTGGCAAGACAGGTAGTTATTGGTAAACAGTATACCTTCCTTGATCCTCCAAATAAAAGACATGCAACAGCTTTCTTCACATCATCATGACCGTATATGGAGGGAGCAATCTTGGAACATATATTCTTATATGAATTTGGATCTCCAGCAAACTTTTTGAATTCTTCTACCTGGAGAAAAAGTAACATTATTTTACAAGAAACAAAGAAAATACAAAGGAAGATGTGCAATTTGAAAGAGCAAGCACTCTCCCTGCTAGCAGCCAATGTTGGCTATGCCCTAAGCAAGGAAATTTCCCCCACATACATTCCAGTATAGCATGGCCCTACAAACTAAATTATCTCAACTATGTGAAATTTCATTCTTCAGACCTCAGTTTCATATCCTCTCTCTTTGAATTAACCAGTTCAAACTGTTATTCAAATGCAAATGAAATTCCACATCAAGGGGACCAGAATAATTAATTTTCAACCTCTATAGCTCTCTGATAATTTAGATATACAGATAATATTCACGCAATCATGCTGCATCAAGCCTCACCTCCTCCTGAGTGAAGGCAGAGGGACCCCGAGAGGTGGCTTCATTAGCTTCTTCCATTCCTACAACCCTGATATAAGGCTGTCTGATTGCAACAGCTCCCTTTTGGCTGCAAAAGAATAATGCATTAACCACACTGCATAAAGCATAAATTGATCAAGTATGTTAAGGCATACATGAAGGTATATGGCAACAATATGAATATCTTACGCAGCAGAATTGGCTGCTTGATAGATACTATAAATTCCCATGATGGTTAATCTTGTTCCAGGTACGATTGTTTGGACGAGGTGGCGATCCACAGAGAGAAGTATATTTCTTGGAAGCTCTCCAGTGGGTACATCCTATTAATTTGAAATAAAAGCCCATTAGTCAGAAATAATTTAACTTCAACATCACAGTATTGTTCACTAAATCAAGACGCCTACCTCAGGGTTCTCCTGCAGTTTCAGGGTCTGTTGATCTACATATTTGCTTTTATCAGGAACCACAATCCAAGGATCTATTGGGCAAGGTTCCTCCCCAGGCTACAAGAACGTTCGGTACTTTTGTAAATATAAATTCATGAATGAGTGTCTCCTTTCATTCTAGTTTCAAACAAAAATAATAGAATGCGAGAGACCAAACCTGAGGGACATGGTCACATGAGCGAGGAACAACAGCCCCACCAAGTCCAGGACGGCAAGGAATTGTCTTGGTATTCTTGCAATTCTTACACAGAAGAGTTACATATGTCGCCTTGGCCTTTGTTCTTGAAGCAGCGATTGTTATCCCGGAGATCTTAACAAGCTTCGATATATACTGAGCCTGCTCTTTGCCAAAAAGAAAAATTATACCAATTTCAACAAGCCCATTTCATGTTTTTAGAAAACACATATACGAAACAATACTAACTCCAAGAGATCGCATGGAGACTGAATCCTCCTTCGAAGTCAGTAGGATCTGCACCTCACCGGTTACCGGATCTTCCATTTCTCCAGTTTCTCCGGCAACTTTGGATTTCAAATTTGCAAGTACTTCTGCCGCTGCGGTCTCAAACTAGAAAGGGAAAAGGAGTCCAAAATATAAGACCCAGTGACAAAACCCTAGAACATAAGGTTGAATCTGCGATTAAGAACAATATATAATACCAGAGGCAAGTAATCGGCAGGTGAAGAGCGGAGCTTGCTGTGGACATCGGCGTCGAAGGACTCAAGGTGATCCATGTGGACGAGGAGGAATTTGGGGTTGTGGAGAAGGCTCTCCCTGTAAGGGAACACATTCTTCTGGGTTTCGTAGTTGCGGATGAACTCTTTGAACTTGAGGAGGACGGAATGGCGAGTGGCCTTGAACTGGTCGGATTCACCGCCACCGCGGGGGAACTGAGCTTGATCGCTGTAGAAAACAGCTCCTTCGTCCCACCCCGACATCTCTTCTTCTTCTTCTTCTTCTTCTCTGCAACTAGTAGATTAGGAAGGGTGGGGGATGGGGTCGTAGGGCAGAAGTGAAATATTATGCCCTACAGTTTTTGGCGGGAAGAATTTGGCGGGAACGAGGGAGTCAGTTAGCTTGGGGTCGAGGCACGTGCATTGGAATATTTTCCCAGCCCTTTCCCTTCATTTCCCTACCTTTTCCTACAAACGCAGTACCTGATTTTTCTGGAATAGCACCCTCGAGCTCCATTTTCAGATTACCGTTTTTCAGCGTAGCGTCTATGTCTAGTGCCGTTTGGAGGGCTTTTTACGTTGGTGCTTTTGGCGATGTGAGATGGGACCCATCAAAAGCATATTAAGGGGTGGCCACGAGCCGGTGTCAAGCTTGAGCCTTATACTATTCGGCTTGACTCACATCAAATCCACCCCTATCTATGATAAACAAAAACAATTGTACTCCGATTGAGATTTATAGGTTTGTGTAATAAAACTAATAACAATTGGGGGAAATGGATGCACAATTTGCATTCAAAGTTGGTCAATATAAAAAGGTGAGTTCCAATTTGGGGTGCAACGTGGATAAATCCAACTTGCAACCTAACCCGAGTTTTTGCATAAATTGGGCCTAAGTTTTTAGGCTATGGGTTACGTTTGGGCCTAACCTAAACTTTAGTTGGACCTAGATTGGACCCTCTGAGGCTGAATAGTTCAAGCCCGGCCCAACCCAAGCCCTCTAGAACAAAATACATAGATATATGTATTATATTTATATAAAACATCGTTTTTTTCTATTTATACATATGTAGACTCTTAAATTGGGCCACAAAACCTAATAAAATAGGTTTGGCCCTTCTTGCAAAGCTGGCCTAGAGATTCTATTCTTTTGATGAGAGCCTGTGGAAACAGCTAATTGAAGGAATATACCTAAAGAGGAAAAACTTTGGGGCAGTAAAGCCTCTATCAAATTTTTCATGGGGCTTTCGGAGCCGTCTGGCTAGGAGGGATGTGTTAAGAGAGGGAGCTTGTTGGAGTGTGGGTGATAGGATTAATATAAATATATAGGATGATCCTTGGATCCTGAGCCTTCCGGGATTTAGGCCAATGGGGCCCCATCCAAATCCAACCCATGTTAATTGGGTGTGTGACTTAATAGACCCTCAGACTAACAGTTGGGATGCAGATAGAGTGGCCGAGTTTTCTGACTCAAGGACATCTCCTCTTATTTGCTCCTTAGACCTGCCCAGATCAGGTGGTGTAAACAAATTAATTTGGGTGGTTGATCCCAAGGGTCATTTCTCAGTTAAATCTGCATACCATGTAGCGAGGAATCTGTTGTACCCTGTAGAGGCATAACCTGTTCAAGGTTTTTTGTCACCAAACCTATGGAAAATAACTTAGAGGCTAAAGATCCCCCCAAAATTGAAACTCTTTTTGTGGAGATGCTGTCAAAATAGTTTAGCTGTTAAGGAGGCCCTTCTGAGAAGAGGCTTAGGGGAAAACGATTTGTGCCCAGTGTGTGGATCTAAACCTGAATCCATTATTCATGCTTTATTATTCTGTGATCATGCCAGAGCTTACTGGTTTGCCAATAACTTATTCTCTTTATCCTTGGTGAGAGGACTTGGAGCTGGCCTAGAATCTTCCTTAGGGGAGAGAGGATTGCAAGCTATAGAGTCTCCAGTTTTATTAATTTGGTTCATTTGGAAAGTTAGAAATAAATTGGTGTTTAATGGCGAAAATCCTAACCCATCTCTTTCTTCACTTTTTTCATTTAGATTGATGGTGGCAATGAATAAAGCTTTTCTTCGAGAATCAACAAACTATTCCATATTTGATTCTTCTTCAAGCAAGGAGTGCTCCCTGGAGAGGCCAAGTTTTGATGATTTTTGTGTGGCAACAACTGACGGTAGCTTTTCAAAGAACTCAGGTGGTTTTGGTTTTGTGTTAAGGTCCAATTCCGGGTCAGATATGTTAGTCTCCTGTGGAAGATGCAAGGCTGTTTCAGCTGAATTTGCATAACTTTTTGCAATTAGGGAATGTTGTTTAGCAGTGAAAAACCTGGGTTGGGTGTTTGTTAAAGTGGAATGTGATGTTGTGAATGTAGTAAAGAATCTTTCTATTAAGTCCTTTTGTTTTGCTCCGGATTGGCCATTGTTGCAGGATATTTATAGCCTTACAGGACCAAATGTGGTGTTCAATCATGTGGATCGCAACAGAGTTCATGCAGCTCATGTGTTGGCTGCTAAAGGTAAGGCAGGTTTGGAAGCTGAACGGACTTCCGCTCCTAGATGGCTTCTTCGAGAATTAGATTTTGTCCCTGATGTGGTTTCCTCTGGTCCTGTTTCTTAGTTGTTGTTTTGTTTGTTTTCTTTCTGTGTATCTTGGAGTTACCAAAAAAAAACCTAATAAAATATGACTATATAAAACTATATGCATACATTCTTTGAAACCTAACTAACTTGCCCAAGCTCAACCCAACCCAGCCCAAGCCCAACCTAAATTGTGTTGGGTGAAGTTTGGGTTTATAAACTTGCTTGGGCTTGACCATATGTTGGGTTAGGCATAAGCCCAAGATTTGCATCTTTAGGGTTGGATTGGGCACAGCCTTCAAAATGATTACTTCACACTCGATTTGGGCTCATTATATTTTGGGGTTTTTATGATTCAGTCCACCCTTAGGAAATCCTAACTCCACCTAGGGGTGGACTGAATCCTACCAGTGGATTGATGTCAAATTCACAGGTAGGATGTGGTTTATAAGGGGACTATTAATAGACTAGGAGGGGTTGCAAAAAAAATTCCCAAGAAAATTGCAGTCCAAAAATCCCTTATATTTTTCACCAAACATAACTTAAAGGCTGCCAGTGAAAGGCTCACCTTGAGAAGACAAAAGAGCACATAGTTTCCATGTATCGAGAGTATCAGTACTTTCAATCTTGTTACTAAAAGAAGCTTAATTGAAAAGCCCTTTCAGCTGAACCACATTGTATTTGAACCTTCTAGATGTTTTACCAAAACATAGCTTATAGGTTGCCTATGTAGGGCCCACCAAAACATTAATCAACCATTAATAAGTTATTAACCAATTTAAGCACAACGAATTCTAGCTTTCTAAGGTGGGCCCTACAGGGGCAACCTATAACCCATGCTTGGTGAAAAATCTGGATAGCCCAAATAAGCTGCCAATAGGGGTGCAACTTGGGCGGGCCCAACCCAAGCCCGAACCGGCTCAACCCAGAATTTTACACGGGTTGGGTTTGGATTTTTGGTCCGAGCTGAGATTGGGCCTAGCCCTTAAGTAATCCAAACTTGGCCTAATTATATACATTTATACATATGTGTATATATGTAAATATGTAAATATGTATGCAACATTTACATATACACACATATATTTATAAATGTATTTAATATATATATATATATATATATATATATATATATATATTTGTATATATAGCATTTGTATAGATATTTTGCATACATATTTACATACATACATAAATATATGTATATGTATATATTTGCATAAATACATTTATATATGTATAATTTTAAAGTGGTCTCATTGACCAGCCTAAGCCCAGCCCGGGCTCGAGCCTAACCCAAGGGCATCAAATTACAGGACAGGCTGGACTTGGATTGGGAAAACCAGGCTTGACCTCGGGCTCGGGCTGAGCTCGAACTAGCCTAGGTTGATCATAAACCCAACCCAACCCGCCCGACTTGCACCCCTAGCTGCTAGTCACTTAGTTGAAAGGTTATCACTTCATTTGAAGGGCAGTTCACCTCAATCTCTTTGAATAACTTATGTGGAGTGCTTTAAAGCAACAAAACCAAATTAGTTGAATTTTTAGCTTAACCCTATTAAATGAGACTTTATCGGAGTAGGTAAATGGGCCATTAGTGTGGTGTAGGGGTGTCAATATTATTCGAAAATCTGATTTTGAATTTGAGATTCAATATAATCGAATTGAATTCAGATAATTCGAATATCATAATTAGTCGATTTGGATATCCTATTCATATTGTTCAACTAATAAATCGAATTCAAATGTTAGCTAATTCGATTGGATCGATATTCAAATTCGGTCAATTATTTAATTAATATATATAATATAATAAAATATTTAAATATTTTTTATATAATTTGTATATAATAATTAAATTTTATAAATAACTTATATATTTATATACTTTATATAAATAAACTATTTATTTTATATATTTATTAATTATCTAAAGTAATTAATCGGTCGAATTGAAATCGAATCAAATATTCTAATATTTAATCAAATTCAAATTCAAAACATTGATTTTCAATATCCATCAGATACCAAATTTTTTAGTCATTTTCAAATTTGGATATTGTTTGATTCGATTTGAATTCAATCCATTTACACTCCTAATGTTGCACATTCATGCACACACACAGAGTAAAAGGAAAAATAAATGGATCAGATTTTTTTCTAGTCAGATTTGAATTTGGATATTGTCTCATTTGATTAGAATTTAATCCATTTACACCCCTAATGTTGCGCACTCACACACACACAGTTGAAAAGGGAAAATAATGGATTAGAATTTTTGGATGGTCGCATATTCTTGACATGAGGCCAAGCCGACTATTGGCATTATTTAGTAAAGATAATCAAAATCATTTAAAGCATATGGAGTAAGTTATTCTTACAATTTTCAAATTTTCTCGTTTTTAAGGAAAATCAATAAATTTATGACTACAAGCCTAAAACTCACATATCTAATAACAATTCAACATTTTTATCCAAAAAAAAAAAGAAATTCAACATATACTTGCATTTCAAACACCACAATGTCTGGATCTATTGAATATTGAAGGAAAATGAGAAAAAGGCCCTCTTGCTCTCCTCTCCCTTGTCACATGTGTGGTTTTATATAATTGTTTTTAATTTAAAAATAGACAAATTTCTTCCTTTAATTCTCCTTATTTTGATATAATCCCTTCAATTCTTTTTATTGCCTTACCTAGTCTATCTCTCTTAGAACTATCCCCATGTTCTCAATAATTGCCCTAAATTAACCCTAATATTTTTTCAAAGTATGTCTACCTAAAGCATCTAACTTGCATGTTCCGAATAATTACCCTCAAAGACTGTGCTTGGGGTTTAACCCTAGCACCTGAGACAAGATGTTCCAACTGTTTGGTAATGCATCAATGCCAGTTTTTTCAGGATAAACTCACAAAGTCTATCAAATGGCTAAAAACATTTTAAACTAACACGAGTCTCTTAAATGTCTATTTTAAGGGGTAATACACAGAAAAACATACCAATATGAATATAAAACAACAATATATTTTATTCATTTATAGGAAAATGTTTATATGCATTAGTTTGATTGGAGCTAAGGGCATACACTATTCAATAGTTGCAAGTAAACCCCCTCTTTTAGAATCCTCTAAAAAGATACATGAAAGTGTCCAAAATATCCATGCATTTACTTTTTGACCAAACATTTATTATCTAAATTTTCACCTCATATGAATGGCTAGCCCAAACCCTTTCTAATATCTTTTCTAAAATATACTTATTTTCCAAATTTGCCATTCATATCAATCACTAAAAGGTAAAGCTACAACTTTAAATTCTCATTTTTTTTGTTGTTTATAAAGCTTGTATTGTTTTTGTTTTCTATAAAAACCAGCCTCAATAGTAAATTGCATGGGTATTTTGGATATTTTTGTGCCTTTTATTAGAGGATTCTAATAAAGGGTGTCTACTTGCAACTGTGTCAAAAAGCTTAGGGGTGGCGATTGCAATTACTGAACATTGAGAGAGGTTTCAGGAATGGTCAAAAACTTCAAGGGTGGGTTCATAAATTAACCTTTTTTAGGTGGAGTTCTTTTTCTGGAAAGGAGATCAGATTGGTGCCCCACAAGGGCCTCACATGCGTGCATTGGGAACATCTCCCATACTTGTCATGGGGAGATGTTCCCAATACATGGGTGGGAGGTGCTGTGAGGCGCTAATCTGATCTCAAAGAACTATATACTTTTCTTCTTTTGATGTTTCCCTCAGAGACATGTCGTTTGGATTTGGTGGGACTGATATGGGGGATTTGCTTTCTCATGCAGCCTTCATTCATCAATTGGGTGAACCTCCTACAGCAATTTCAATAAGTATCTCAAACGCTTCCATTCCACTTTTGCTGGCAACTAGACAAATCAGAATATCCGGAAGGAATATCTGCAAGGAAAAAAGTCTTAATTCAGAGAGGTAGATGGTTTATCCGAAAAGCTTTCTTTTCGATTATTTGTATTTTCTGCTCTTAAGATTATTAGAGCTGGGTATGAAGTGGCTTTTCATGATCTGGTTTAATGTGGCTTACTCTACGGCAAAACTATATATAGGTCTTTCCATTGGGTGTGTAGGTTAGGAAATTGAACTGAATCCCATTCTCTATTTAAGCATTATAATTTGTTTCTACCATATAGGCATATACATCTCATGTTTAGAAATGATCTTTCAGAGTTTCAGGTATGAAGACTAGGAATATAACGTACTTAATTATAAAAAAAAAGGAAAAAGATGAACAACACTAAGATGTAAGTTCACATTGAACACAACAGAATCCAAATAGAACCACCTGTCAATTACTCTATTCCAAAAGCCACTTAAATTTCCAAGTACTATCTGGATGTAAACTTAAAAGGGGCCAGACTGTAATCAAAAGTCTATTTGATTAGTTGATGTAGAATATTCAATTTTGCACTTCAATGTGTGTGTGTGTGCCTTTGGTTTTGAAGCAACAGAATATCATTCTATTATAATCTATTGAGTTCATATAGTCGAATAAATCGCGTATGCTACAGTAGTGAAGTTATGTGAAGTTTTTCTCTGATTTACCTTTTATGTGCTAATTTGTTTCCCCTCCCCTTTTTCGGTCTGCATCTTATTTTCTTCAGGTCTGGTGTCTAATGCATTCCATTTAACCATTAGTTGTGGAATTGTGGTCTATTAACATTTTCGTTATTTGCAATGGTGGCTTCCCAAAAGAAGCCCGATGGAGTCTACACTGCGGGGTGAGATTAAAGATCCCTCTTTATGGTGATATGGAAATTATTGCAATTCATTTCCACATATAGTTGCACAAATAGTGTGTAAAATATATAAAATTTCAGAGGGATGGTGATTGAACAGGATTAATATAGCCTACCCATATGCATAGTTGAGTTGAGTTAAACGGATGGTACCAGTTCCATATTAATGAAAATAAATGTTGTTAAAATTAATAAAAAGAGTAAAAATTAATGAAATTCGTTTACCTTAATAAAACTAAAATTTAATATCCATTCAAAATCTCTTTAAAAATGAATACTTCATCTAACAATAATAAAATAAATAAATTTAATATAAGATAATACAAACTTATTAGTTAAAAAATTTGTTTTCACTAATTTAGATCCCTTTTAAAAGTTTATAAGATTAAGCATTAATAAAATTATGGTTGAGTAGGATTCAAATTAACTCGGCTTGGAATTGTTGCAAGGCTCCTACTTCAATTCAGGGGTGTTGGACAGCTACTGTCCAGGATCTGCTACATGGCTGGAAGGTTACTGGAATGAACAAAAAAGGAAGATGCTTATGGACGGCTACCCCTCTGGCCGTAATGCGGATGGTATGGATGGGGAGAAATTCAAGGATTTTTTATCAGAAAACTAGTCGGGTCAAGAGTGATCAATGGCATTGTGGAGGTCCTGAGGAAATGGATTTTCTACAGTATACTTCAAGGATAATGAACTCTTCTTTTTTGGCTGCAACTATTTTTTTTGAGGGATGGATACTTGTGTAGCGTACAGGTTCTCATTGTACAGAAACGTCTTTTGATTCTGATTAATACAACAATACATTACCCTTTTTTCAAAATATACAGATTCTCATGGCCCACTGTTCTTTCTATTTTACAGAGGACCAATGACAAAAATATTACAAAAACTCAATTTTAGTGATGATTAATCACCCTTGCACAAATATCCTTGCTGCTGCAAATACCATAGTGCCCCTTCTGCTGCATGTTCTGCTGCAGCTTTTTTCTTGGCATGAGGAGAGCTAAAGCACTCTAAAATTAAATCTGCGGCTTCTTCTATCTCCACAACCACCTTGAATGTAAACCTGTGCAATGTTTGGAGTCAGTAGTTGTAATGATACCTCGTATTTATTACAATGTACACAGAACATCAATCAGGAGGCAGGCATCTTTCAGGCGGCAGTAGGCATATTTCGGTAGTTGTAATAATTTGAACGTTAATCAGGTACAACGCATATTACAATTATTGAATTGTGATCAGTACCAAATTCCAAAACCAATCCCTTCTGATAAATGGAGAGAAGAATCAATTTTTTTTTTTTTTTTTATTGAAAACGGTAACTTTCATTAACAGTTAAATACAAGAATGTCAAATTGTCAACCACTCAGAGCATGAGTGTTGACCCCATACCAAAAACTAAAAAAAAAAATCTCATTTCAAGGCAACTTTCAAGGACTGCAGAGTAGAATGATGTATGCAGACAATAAGCCAAGGAGGAACCTCAGTTTTTTGTGGAATAGTTACATTTCCCAACCTTCACCTAATTGAGATCAATCAGTAAGGTATGAATGCATTCAAGTTGATTATGGACCTAAAACAAATCTATATCTAATTCATTAGCACCTATTCAATTCACAAATGTGGTAGTTCAAGTAGCAACTTGCCATCCTATTATCACTGTCTGAATCTCAAGCCACTTGAGCATGTTTCACTTAAATAAGAAACAGAGCCTAATCAGCTGAAGTTAAATTCTGTAGTAAAGAATATTATGACTTTTGCTAACACTTACTGCTTCAAGTGGTCTAACCCCTCCTCTTTATAGCATTCAAAAATTGGAGATTTCCAGTAATTATATGTACAAATCTCATACAAACGAGATTTTGCTGTTGCATTCTGTTCGGTACCTGGAAAAGGAAATAAAAATTAATTACATGCCAGAGTCTTGTTAGATCCAATAGATGAAAGGGGAAGGTCTGCATACTGTATTAGTGTGTAATCATTGCAACTCTATAGAATGTGGTATCAGAAACATACCTGAAGTCTGTGGCTCCCCCGTACCACTGTTTTCACTGTTCTCGTTATAATGCTCTCTAGATGTTTCAAATTTTAATGGTGGTTGACTAGTAATGGCTACAAATTCAGAAGTTTGCTCACGGGAATACATAGAAGCTTCTGGTACCTCCATAGGATCCAGGTCTGGAAAAATAACGTCAATAGGTGTTTCATCATAGCCAATAAGCTTGGCCTCCTGCTTCTTGGTTGACCTTAGGCTGCCCTCCAACGAACTCTTGGGCTTGTAACCCATAACCTGCTCAGTCATACATAATAGAAGAAAGATTCAGCAACCAGGACAACAAAATATAGAAACTATAGAAGATGGCCAAGCACCAGATTTTCAAGCTCCTGTAACATTAATTTTGCAAATTGCAATATGATGGTTAGCAAAGATACGCAGATACAGATACAAAAATGGTCACATATGGGAAACAGGGATACAAATCTCCTTTCCTTAAATTGTGAACACATATATAGGTATGGGTATGGCAATGTAATATGCTTATATCATGCTTTTGAAACAAAATTTCATTATTAGAGACATAAGTCTTGCCAAATTTAATTAAATTTCTTACATGTATAGACTTTTTTATAATATAATTTATTGAAGAATACTTTCTGTGATAAGCTGTAAGGCATGGAAGGATGTTTAGTTATGTTTGTTAAGGATATGCTGTTGGTGTTTTATGAGGTGATGTTTTTGTAGAGAATATAAGGGCTGATTGTGATTTATGACATATTTTTTTATTCTTTATGGGCTGGGAGTACTGTTGTGCCATAGCTTGTACACACTATATCATTATATACATCTTTTTGTTGTCTTGTAAGAGGACATACTGGTCCTTTCTCATTCTTTTCACTCATTAATATATAAGTTATTCTTCTGGGGTCTGACCTGTCATTAGACATGCCTAAACAGAGCTTTTTCTCTCATGTTTGAACTGTTTCTAACATGTTATTAAAGCGGGTCACTTTATTGACTTTCGATTGAAGATTCAAGATCTGTGATACGGATCATTATACAAGGGTTTCAAGAGGATTTCTGTGCACCTTTTTGGGAATTTACAGAAGCAGCAGAAGGGCTGTTTCAATCGGCCAAAGTCTCCCCCCCCCCTTTTTTTTCTGGAATTCATGGTATAGCTTTCAATCTTGTCCTTTGACTCAGCAAGTGAGTAATCAAATCTCCATAAACCCTTGAAACTTCTGCCACCTCAGACCTCTCTTTCTTCTACTATTGTTTGATCTGAGGTTGCTTGATGATTTAGGGGGTTTCAATCCCTTTCTCTCATTCCTATTAGTGATGGTAGACCTTGTTATTACCTTTTTTTGGCCTGATCTTGCTTAATTCATTAGAGGCTGTTTTTTTTTTTTTTTTTTTTTTTTAACTTTTTATCACAGATTAGGTACTACCCTAGTCTGAGACCTCTATTCCTGCTACTCTTGGGTGTGAAACTGATCCAATAGTACTATTTTTATCTCTAGTTGTTTCTAATAGTTGATGTGAATGGGTTTGGCTTCATCATAACCTGACCCAACCTGACCTAATAACATGTAGCTTCTAAACCCACCTCAACCCTATAGGGGTCAACCCAATACGGACACGACTTGACCCTCACTCTTTGAATTGTATTTTTTATATCATATTTTCAAAACCCTAGAGCCATTAATTTAAGTTGGAATTTGGTTTATAGATTCCAAGGTGTCACTTCCTCAATGGTGAAAGAAGAAAAATCAAAACAAAATGAAACGAAACCCTAAACTTTAAGGTTATGGGGTTAGAAGTCATATCAAATTACAAGGAACACCCTCTACCCGACAGGCCATGATAATGAAACCTGAACCTCATTCAGGTTGAAACATCAAAACCGTAACTCAACCCTACATTTAACTATGTCCCAACCCATTGACATCCCTATTAATAGTTGAAGCGTTCTGCTAGCATGGGATTGAGTTGTGTTATTGGTTATTGTTGGAAAGTAGAAGATTGACTCTCTGATTGATTCTCCATAATTTTAGGTCCATCAGTTTAGGAAACTTAATTTCCTAGAGTCATGGGATATCCTAGAATCATGGGATATTAATTGCAGAATCCCACTGATATAGAAATTAGTTTTTAAGGAAAAGTTAGTTTCCTATTTTATCACCCTGTAAGTTAGCTCTGTAATTCTATATAAAGCTGTGTATATGCTCCTTCCAAGACAATACAATCAATTCATTTTTTCTCTCAAATTTTCACAGTTATTTCCTACTATAAACCTTTGCTGAAATGTCTTGGAGAAAGGAGAACTCTTATCTATCAGGTTCGATTGAACAACTATGCTCTATGGAAGTTTCACTTCCAATTCTTTGTTGAAGGCAAGGGAGTAGGGGTACATTGTTCAGTCCCTAAACCTAGTGATTCAGATGTTAAAAATGTGCAGAGTGGAGAGTTGATACGTAAAGATAGCCTCTTGGGTCTTTGGATCAGTAACTACTAATGTGGTTATTCCCATTAGGGCTCTTTGGACTGCACATGAGATGTTTGATTATTTGATGAAGGTATACCAGCAGTCCAACTTATCGCAGCCGTACCAAATTGAAACTGATATTGATAAGGCCCATGACAGATCTGTGACTCCAGCCCAGGCCCAAGTCTCCCCAAGAGCAGCAGCTCGGGTGCAAGCCCATTTTGCCAGCAACAAGGAAACCACATGTTACGTGCCTCCTCTCAGATATGTTTATACAAGAAGGCCACATCAACATTAGTTTGCAATGTTTTAAAAACCGACCCGGAGGCCAAACTGTTTTTGCCTCCGGGTCGCAGGTCACCGGTTCGACCATCTGGGTCGAATAGTTTAGACCATGCCACATCAGGAATGTGTGTGTGTGTACTAGTATATGTGTACATTCTTTGCACATGACAAATTTTGTGATGATGATTATAGTATATAATATGTTTCCAAAATTTTCTACATTTTTTTATATTTCTTTGTCTATAAAAATTATTCTTATTTGTTACATTTATTATGGTTCATTAATATAGATATATGCCCAAATGTTTTCTCTACAAAATTTATATATATATTGTATATTTTTGTTTTTTATCTTTTAATATATATATATATATATATTGTATATGCCCAATTAGAGAGGACCAAATTCAAAAATATGGGTATTCTAGTCAAGAATAGGATTTAATGAGTGCTAATGAGAATTAATATTTAATATGAGACTTGATGAGAGGGATTTGAATAAGGAGAAAAGTGGTTTTTCAAATTACATTTTTTTTCTTAAAATTAGAAGGACCAAATTCAAAAATTTAGTTTAGTCAAGCAAAAGTCCGCACCATTATTCACACTTTTAATAATAGTATAGATAAACATTAAATGAAAAATGTAATATGACATTTTTGCTAATAGATTGTTTTCCAATTCAAACTTTAGAGAGGAGGCATTTGTTGTCCAATGAAAATTCCAGAAGCTAGGCTGCCTGGTACACCCATTCGCACTTTTATAGATAGCATACGTGTGTGTGTATAGGTATGTATACACATGTATTTTATCAATAAACAATGTATAATTATGTTTACATGTAATATATGTACTATTTTATATTTAATTTATGTTTTTTGATTCAGTTTTTAATTTTTTATTTGTAAAAAATATTAAAAATTGTGATTTGAGGCCAGAAAGGGTTTTTTTGGTGATATTAGTGGGACAAGACTCCTTCGGACACAGATTTCAAAAAGCTACCCAAAATAAAAAAAAACAAAGATCACCCCAATCAGACATCTTTGCGCGTTATGGCCTCCGGAAGTTTGCATACACATTTAGTGTGCAACCTGTGACCCACTCACCAAGTCGAACTGGTCAACAGTTTTTGACCAATTTCCAGGTTTTACTTGAACCAGATCCGAAATCTTGACTGGGTAACAACTCAAATGGTTCAACCGGCTAGGTCAACAACGGGTTGAAAACATTGCTAGTTTGTTAGCAGCCATGTGAATTCAGTTGTAAGAAACCTATAAGTATCTCTCCTTCCCTCTCGAGAGATCAGTTGAGATCTTTCCCTCCAACTCTTCTTCTCTTACCCTTTCTCCCTCTTCTTTCTCCCTCTCCCTTCTCTTGAGTGTAGCCATTTCAGGAGGTTGAGCTCCCTCGAAGAAGCTCAGTTTCATTAACAGAAAAGTGGGATCTTATCAAATCTTTTCTCTTATAGTCAGAGAAGAAAATGTAGGAGTAATATGTAGGTTTTGTGAACTTGTGGACTGAGTATGAGTTGGTGCACTAGGTGATTCCTCGGTTGTTAAATCAAGTTCATGAAACAACTCTTTAATAGCAGAAACATAATAATGCATTTTCTAATGCAGTTGAGACCTAAATGTATCAGGTCTGACATTCTTAGCAGGGAACTGTAACTAGTCTTGATGTCATTCTTGGTGAACCTTTGAGGGAGGAAACAACTAATCACTCAATTCACTCTTGATGGGAGATGAGACCATAGTTGTCAAGGCGACACCTAGGCGACAAGGCACCCTAGGAGGCTCGCCTTGCCCAGTCACCAAGCAGTTTTTCATACTGTGTAATGAAATATTTTTATATTGTTATTTTTTTGAGATCATAATTATAAAATAGACATTATTAAAGAAAAATATTCATTTTTTGTGTTTATAAACTAATTTCTTATTTGTTAGGGTTTAATCAACACAAACATTGCTAACTGCTGCATTGACCCCTCAATGACTTCAAAATCTGAACCGATAAGGGAAGAACTTAAAATTTTGTCTAATCAACATATATCTTCTTCTTCCACCTTTTCTTTTCTTCTTTTCCTATAACAAAAATAGGGGTTCAGCCCCTATATTTTTTTGAATTTCCTTTCTTCTTTTTCTTCTCATAAATATGTTGATTTTCTAGACTTAGGGCCTTCCTCTTAACTCTTATCTGTTAAGAGGAATCTTTCAACTTTAAGAGAAAAATGATTGTTCCTTCCTCTTATCTCTTATCTCTTAAAGTACAATCATACAACTTTTTGTTTTCCAATGATACCCCCAAAAAGACAAATAAAAACTCTCATATATGGGTCAAAATGGATATTTGATAATTTTCAGAATTCAGAATTCAGAACAACATTCTTTGGATTCAGAGTTCAGAGGAAAGAATAATTCACCAATACCAATATACCTCTTAATGTAATTATTGCACTTTCAGATGTTAGACTTCAGAGCAAACAAACAGACCCTTAATGTCAAGACTGCTGGAACAGACCAACAGA